AAGACTTTGCCTGACCCAAGATGGCCATCAAGGTCACCTGGGTCCAGTGTAGCCAATTGGAATGCCGCTCTAGGGATCCATAGAGAAACCCAGTTTCTTGACTTGACTTCCTCCTCCAGCTGCATTGCTGTTTTTCAGACAAGCGCCACATGTAGTGGAGAATGTAGACTGCACCTGCCTACAAGTGTCTACAGCTAATTTCTCAATTGAAGTTTGTTTGGTTAAGTGGTGTTGGCAGGGCTGTCTATGGCTCAGATTTTGGCTAATTCATTAGAACTGGCTGAAGTTTAAGCTGTGTATGACCATCTTAGGAGATCTAGGCAGCTGAAGTTCTATTTAATTCCAACTTCTGGGGTGTACGTTGAGTTTGGTCCAGCACTCTTCCTGCTTCCTAAGGCTAAGTATTGGTCAGTGTGATCATCTATCATCATAAAATACAATCAGGGATGGCCAGAGGCGGCAGGAGGTTGTGTCATGCTTGAAAGATACAGAACAGGCAAGGATTTACGTATAACTTCAGTTGCTTATTAACTGTGGATCTATTGATCATTTCGACATGCAGTTTTATCTGACAATAACTTCTGTTTATATTTTTTTCCCTATATGCTCAGTTTAAATTGCCCAGGTTTGTGACAAGCTTAAACAGTAATCGCTATTGATTTTATAATAACCCAAACAGATTTTTTTCTGCGGTACAAAACATTGGACTGAAAATGTAAGCTTAAATACAAAAACCAACTGAACTGATTATGAATGACACAAAAGATTTATGTTTAATGATTAACTTTTAGGACCATATGGGTGAAAGAACAAATTACTGTGTCAATATTCGAAGCCGCAGAAGTGGGACACTACTGAACATTAACAGAAACAATTCAGGAATGAATACCTTGCCTCAGTCAACATGTGACTTCCAGACATACAGTACTGTCACTGTATTGTTAAACATTATGCATTAATATGCCTAAAGAAGTGGTCTGCTATGCAAAGCAGACTTTTGATATAGCCAGGTACATGTAGAAAAAAGTTAAAAGATTAGAATCCTAGGCAGGTTATACATGGGTCGAATTCTGAACAAATTTTCTTTAGAAAATCTGAAGTTTTGTGCATTTTGTAATCCAATGTTGCCACCATTGATTTTGAAATTTGGCCTATCAAGCCCTCAATTTCACATGTTGCTACAGAAAAGAATTTTTGTGGCTGAGAATCTTCTTTTCTTTCTAGGTTACAGCTCATGCTCATTTCTTTTTTTATTATGTTTCTCGCTCGACTCTCCCATCAATTAGAAATTCACTCATTTTTAAAAAATTTCCAACAACATGCCCGATCACTCAAATTCGATGGCCACATGAAAGTCGGCTACTGCTGCGGCCCACTAATGTTATGAAAATTCTTAGTTACAATTTTTGAAAGAAAAGTCTTTCGGAATTTGACCTATGTATTGGCTAGGTTCAGTGTGCCCATTTTTCCCCACCTGGGGGGAGGGGGGTGTCATGCACAAACAGAGCATACGATACCAAAGCATAGCAAGTATAGATAGCACAATATTCTACAGTAGCTGTGTGGTTAGGCGGTTAACTAATTTGAATTCTAGCAGCTGTCATAACTTGATAACGTGAGAAACTGAAAAAAATTATTAATAGCTTATATTCCACAAATCAGTTGAATTTAGTGCTAAGAAACAGTCACTACTTGTATTTGCTTGCGGATCATGGGATACTGTTGCTGAGAACCTGCCATTGCTTGTTTTTGGCTCAGAAATCAGATTTGTTAGTGCAGAGAACCTGCCACTGCTTGTTTTTGGTTCAGAAATCAGATTTATTGGTGCTAAAAACCTGCCACTGATTGGTTTTGACTCAGAAATCAGATTTGTTGGTTCTAAAAACCTGCCACTGATTGTTTTTGGCTCAGAAATCAGATTTATTGGTTCTGAGAACCTGCCACTGCTTGTTTTTGGCTCAGAAATCAGATTTGTTGGTGCTGAGAACCTGCCACTGCTTGTTTTTGGCTCAGAAATCAGATTTTTTGGTGCTGAGAACCTGCCACTGCTTTGTTTTTGGCTCAGAAATCACATTTATTGGTGCTGAGAACCTGCCACTGCTTGTTTTTTGGCTCAGAAATCAGATTTGTTGGTGCTATGAACCTGCCACTGCTTGTTTTTTTTGGCTCAGAAATCAGATTTATTGGTGCTAAGAACCTGCTACTACTTGTTTTTTACTCAGAAATCAGATTTGTTGGTGCTGGGAACCTGCCAACTGGTTTTTTACTCAGAAATCACTTGTTGGTGCTGGGAACCTGCCACTGCTTGTTTTTGTCTCAATCATCAGGTAGTTTTCATGCTGAGAACCCACCACTCCTTATCTTTGGCTCAGAGATCCAGTGGTATTGGTGCTAAAAAAACCTCCCACTGCTTGTGTTTGGCTCGTAGATTAAGTGGTTTTGCAACCCTGTAAGACATAAGCCTAAATGTGGGCCTCTACATAAGTGCAGTAGCTTTTATATCCTTTTCCCCACCCATACATGAATTCAAACAAGGAAACCTCCAAAACATTCTGCTAGAGTTGGAGCTTGCCCACTCTCTACTGCCTCATACATTCATATTAGTTCATCACTACCAGGTGATGGGCTTTCTTACTAACCAATAGGAATCTTTGGAGGAAGGCAGAAAGGAGCAGGCAGATTGTATCACAACCTAGAAGCATCAGAGGTTTGTTCGATCAAAATGGTCTGGCATTAAGATTTAGAGGAAGCAATAATTATTTAGAAGCACCTGTAAGTGTCTGCGCTTTATTCCTCCTAGCAGCTATTTTTTTTTTTAAGTGACAGCTTTGCTTTAAGGAGCCAGTTTTAGGGACAGGTTAAGTGATAAATTCTACAGAAGAAATGTATATAGGTAGGTTTAATTTAGGGTAAATAGTATGGCAAGGGAAGACTTAAAGCCAAATATCAGCCCTTCCTTCAGTGTTGAACAGTTGTACAGACTACCCTCCTGTACTGAAATTGTTTACTTTAATTTCAGCGCACACTGTGAGCTTCTCACACTGTACATTAGAAGGTACAGTAAGCTTCCAGAAATAGTACACACACACCTTTTTTAGTGCAATTTGGTTCATTAGACAGCACATTCAAATTAATGGACTTCCTTAACCCTGTAACGCCGGCACCTCCTGGCCCTTTAATGAGTTTGTGATGCGGGGAGATGGGGCAGATCGTGTGACACCACGGTCACATGATCGGAAAGGTGCCAATTGCAAGTAGTGATTGGGACCTTTCCTTGAGACGGAGGTAAATGTTTCAGGAGCATGCAGGGCACGCACTCACGGCACATGTTTGTTGCCTTTTTTGTATGCAAATATACAGCCACTTGGCATCAAGGTCTAGCCGCCAAAAGGCCGCATATTTGCATACTGTCTGCGTGCATCGGTTAAACTAACGTGTGGTAACACATGTGGGCTAATGCACTGCAATGATGTGAATGGGTCTAGATATAACTCGCCTCATTTTCAGGATGAAGAATATCCAGTATCATCTAGTTCATTTCCCAGCTTTACTGTCCCTGGCCCATAACTTTCATTCACTGGATTTTAGTTCTTTCAACCATAGAGGCTCAGCATCATACATAGGCATTACCTTGGACTGTCTGCATGCAAATACAACCTGTCAAGAAGTACAAACTCTTCCAAACTGACATCCACCCATCAAGGCATTTTGATATTTGTATAATTTTTCCCAAAGAGACAGCCTACAGCTTGCATCAGAGCTGAGGGTTCTTTGGAAGCTACATTGGGTGGATTCATGTGAGATGACCCCTATCCTGCATCCATCATACCTGACACTTGTATCAGCACCTGGGCAAGAGGGGAACTTGAGCCTCAACTAAGTGGATGTTTAACCATCTTGCATCTTATAGGACTTTAGTGCCTGCACCTAGAATTGCCTTAGCTTATAAGAAGTACATCATCACAGGAATACCCTTTCCCTTGCAAAAGACTTCTTCTCCCCAGCAGGAGAGAACTACAAAAGACACCCACTTCCTAGAAAAGGACTTCCTCACCCAAGAGGGAGGAGGAAAATAATATTTCCAGAACATTGCAGCCCTGCTTTATAAAAGTTGGTCAACCACTGATGACAAGTTCACTGTGGGGCTGCCCAGCTGACAAAATAGACAAGACTCTCTGTATCCACCCCTGACATAGAACTCTGAAGCCTCCTCAACAGAATAACTGGCAGGTAATGTCATAGTATCATTCCCTATGTGCAGTACTCAGCAAAACAAATCATAAAATAAACACAAAATGCAGCAGGGCTGCTGGGAACACATTATTCATATTTGAGATTGGCTTGCTTAGTGTGGTCATCCCTAGTTGTAACGGAGCCGGACCCCGGACTGCACTAGGTATTTCCGTTAGACTCCCACTTCCCTGTCCGAACACAGATCCACGGACACCACTGCTGGCCATACAAGACGAGACAGCACCAGACTTGTATGAAAGACAGGAAATAGACTGCTTTATTTTAATATAGATACAAGATATATACGCAGGGCGGGGAAATAAACACCCAGACAGGAAAGACATCAGCAGGCCGTCCTATCAGGGGGAAAGGCTGCCGGAAACTTTACATCCCATAATAGTTTGTTCCCAAGCAAGACACACAATGGAACAATGGGATGCACCATGTGACCGTGAACAATGAACAACCCCCACACCAATATTAGAACATTTCACCCTGTACCCCTGACAGGCACAGGGTGACTTACACATAATAGGAACATGGGGAGCTGAGACAGGGGTCTCCCCACCTCTCCAAAGGGGGCTGTGTTCCATGGGCCCCCCACCCAAAGTCACTCCCGTCACATATCTCCCCTTTTGGCAGGAGACTAAACGCAGGAGTAAATCCCAGATGGATGGACTCCAAAGTTAGTATGTACTTCCAGTCCCCCAATGCCAACACCCACACAGTACCCCAAACAAATTGTCCCACACAAAGCATTACTCACCCAGCCATCCTCTGCCTCTCTCGTAGAACATACCCGCTGCTGGGGAGAAGTACGGACTGGTCCTTCTCCCTGAAGTCCTCTCAGCCACTGGAGAGATGACAGGATGGCTGGGCCGACTCCATCATGCTGTGGGGGATCTGGGCCGACTGCCCAGCATCCCTGGGGTATCCAGGTAGTGACTGTAGTCTCATCCACTTTGACTTTATGGACATCCCCCAGTGTTTGCAAAGTAAGGCTGACATCCTCTTGTCCCAATGCCAGACCCTTTTCTGGGGTTGTGTCAGTGGAGACCGAAGCCCCATCCATGGACATCAGCTCAAGCTGGCGTTGTGAGGTGCCGATTGCATCCTCTTCCTGTAGCTCCTGCGGTGCTGATTGTTGTGGTCAGAGGTCAACCACGCCATGCCCTGATGTCAGCTCTTCTTCTGGAGGCGTGCTGGCTGGTTCCTTCTCAGCAGAAAAGTCAATCAAATTCCCAGTCTCTGGAACTGGTGTCTGAGGATAGGGGTTCACCATCTCCTGTCCGTGGAACTCAGAAGATGTTATCAGTGCTGGGCAGAGTTCAGTAATGTTTGGCCCTGTTGCCAGCTCTTCTGCTGGAGGCTTACCAGGTTGTTTTTCCTCAGCAGAAAAGTCTATCAAATCCCCAGTCTCTGGAATGTCCACTGCCGATTCTTGGGCATGCTGCCGAACATGTTTTAGCAGTCGCCTATATGCCCTTTCCAGATGCAGTTCCTTCTTCAGCAGGTATTCCAGATCTGGTTCAAGCTCTGAGACCCCTGTGAGACCCGAACATAGCCTCTCTGTCTTCTCGCAACTCCTCCAGGGTAGGTTCTCCTTCATTGCCAAACATAAAATGATCTGTAAGGCTCTCCCACAGCAATCCAGGGCCACCAAAGTCATATCCCTCAGGAGAGCATTCTATTGTCACACCTAAATATTCCTGCTCTGCGTACCATTGCAGAGCCCAATATCTGTTGTCCAGCTCTATCTCCTGCTGGACCAGCCTGTCCAACTCAGTCACCCATTGCTCCTGGGGTCGCTCTCCCAGGAATGGCATCTGTAACTTCCGATGGTCCCTGGCCCGTTCCCCTGGGGTTGGATAGCACTTGCCCTTGTCCATATCAGCAACCTGGAGGGCTCCTCTCCAAAGCACCTCCCAAATCCTCTGCCTGAGCTCCAGGTACTGATCTGTAGACACAGTCCTGGGGTATGTTGCAAGAACAGTCTGCAGCAGCCCCGGGGACTCTGATGCCAGGTCCATATCTCCACTGGGGTGACTGACGTCTCCTTTCCTGATCTTGAATCCCGGTGGTGGTTTGGACGTGTTCACAGCTTGGAAGCACAATCCCACCGCTGCCACCAATGTAACGGAACTGGACCCCGAACTGCACTAGGGTATTTCTGTTAGACTCCCGCTTCCCTGTCCGAACACAGATCCACGGACACCACCGCTGGCCATACAAGACGAGACAGCACCAGACTTGTATGAAAGACAGGAAATAGTCTGCTTTATTTTAACATAGATACAAGATATATGGCATAATGATTTTGCATGCTTGTTCTTCCATAATTTGTAGATTAGCCAAACTTAATTTACAGCCCCCTTCGTTCACAGCTGCTCAAATAAAGCTTTTGCCTAAAAGGGAAAGAACTATTTCCAATGAGTCAGCCGACACTTAGACCTCATTCACACTGGCATTCCTGCATCTAGAATTTAAACACACACGGCTATCTGTGAAGCATAAACAATTTCACTATCACAAGATCACGATTTTACTCTCTATAGATGTTCCTGTTTTAAAGCAGGTTTAGCCACATTTAGAGTTTGTAATCAAATCCTGGACGCAAGGAATTGTATTTTTTCTAAATGAAGCCAAACCAATCACACCTAAACGCAGGAAAATGCAGAGCCTGAATGGCACCATAGAGAAATCATTGCTATGCTTTTAGAAATGTCCTCTAAATGCATACTTATTTATTTAAGGTACTTATATAGCACTGTCAATTTACATAGCACTTTATATATAGCATACATCAGTCACTGCCTTCAAGGAGATTACAATCTAATGTCCCTAACTTACATTCATACATATACATACTAGGAACAATTTAGACAGGAGCCAATTAACTAACCAGCATATCTTTGGAGTGTGGGAGGAAACAGGAGTACCTGGAGGAAACCCATGCCGGCAGAGGGACAACATGCAAACTCCAGGCAGGTTGTGCCGTGGTTGTGGATGTGAACCAACAACTCTAGTGCTGCCAGGCGGAAGTGCTAACAACAACTATATAAATGCAGGTTTGGCAGTGTTGGTGAGAATGAGGCCTTAGACATGTATTCTGGGCAGCAGCATTAAAGCATAGGCATTGTGGAGTTATAAAGCAGGAAGCAGAGCCCAGTGTATGCCATACATAAATATAGATGACCCATGGTAAATTAACAAACTATACATACAAATAAACACACTGAAGGAATTATTTCCATTATTACAAACAGTAAATTCATAAGTATACCTAAAATAATAAGTCTTCAAGAAACGTACCAATATTATCTTTTTCTGGATATGTAATGTGTTGCTGTACCTGTAAGGTTATAATGCTGGCCATACACTAGTAGAATTTTGTTTGAAATGCTTTGTTTTGAGTATGTTCGATTTTCTAATCATTATTGAGGTCAAATCAACATTTGTCTTTGACTATAGTGACAAGAAGATTCGAAGGTGCAGGATGGAACTTTTTTCTCAATCGAACAACTTTCTAACCGTGTATATGGTTTTCATTCAGGAAATTATTATAATCATTCCAAAACCAAATGTTAAATGCAAATTCAATTTTGAAGTAATTTAAATAACATTCATCAAATCATCAAATGTACTGAGAATTTTCATTCGACTGTTCCCACGAAAATCACTAGTGGGTGGCCAGCTTTTGCGTGATGACAAGACTAACAAAAGTGATCATAGATATCTCTCCTTTATTTATTGATCCTTACTGAGCTGTGACCTTCTCTGTAACTGGGTCCTAAGGCTTGGTAACTATTACATGAATAGGTCTAGAAGAATAACATTGCAAAGATTTTACATTCCCTTAAACTGGAGTTAAAGTGTATCCAAATCCCAAAAATGTCATATATTACATCTTACCCATCTCATGTAGTGGCTGCATTGGTTGTCTTAATTTTTTTGTATTCCTTATTTTCACCTGGTAATGCTGCCAATAACACATTTCCGATTCCTGGGTGGCTATACTAATTTCTCCACTGTATCTGTGGAGGGAGCTATGGTTGCTACCCAGCTGTACTTCAGACATGTCTGCTTTCTTCATTGATGGGATTAGTAGTTTACATAGGATGAATAAGAGTATTTTGATTTCAGTCCTGCTGTTAGGATATGACGTTTTTTGACAAGATAAACACATAATTTCTGTACTTTCTGAAAATGATCTTAGCCTGAATAAAGAAAACTAATGCAGCCACCACATCTAAAAACTGGTAAGCTGCAATATATTACATTTTGGTTTTGGGTTTTCGAAACACTTTAATGTTTATATGCCCTTTACTGTATCATTATCATTTTATTTTTCTAATGCTTAAAAGTGAAATGTACTAGTTTGTGCTAGAGGCTTTTAACATGCTAACGCTCTCATTTGTTTATGTCTTTCTGTATTATCAAGTTCACAGTTTGGTTTATATCAATGTGTAAAAGAATGCATGTGACTTAGTATTGTTTGTTTAATATGGACATTAACCTTCTGTCATAGCTGACACCTCTTGGCTTTAGGTAAATAGCATTCTTCTTTGAAGTGCTGTAGTGTTGGCATCCTTAAAGTATTGGCGGGCTGTGAGAACACAATGCATTATCAAAAAAACCAGAGGACGTCTGTATAAAATTTAACGCATGTACATTTAATTTTTTGTCTTTCGGATTTCAGAGTTGCCAGTAACACTGTTTTACAACGCCTCACCAATCTTCTCTTCTACACAATTTCTGAAGGACAAGAGCGACTGCCGGTCAACAAGTTTATTAATGTAAGAGGCTGTAAGAATGTAAACATATGTGTAACCATCTGTAAATGAAGCACTAATACAAAACAGAGAACAGTTACACAATGCAGAATATAGAGCAGGGTTTCTCAACCAGGGTTCCATGGAACCCTAGGGTTCCTCCAGAGGTTGCTAGGGGTTCCTTGAGCAATCAGCAATTTTTGCCTCTCAGGTACGTTCCCACTGACACCACTGATCTTTTTAGTAATCTGTAAGGGTGTAATTCTTCCTAATGACCACGAGTGTAAGGAGGATTCTTACCTCTAACTATCACACTAATGTATCATGAATTGTAGATAAAGCCATGTTTAGCAAGGGTTCCCTGAGACCGGAAAGTTATGTCAAGGGTCCTCTGCATTGAAAAGGTTGAGAAAGGCTGATATAGAGCATAGCATTTCATGGGCAGGAACAGTATGAAAACTCCATACATGTGGTGTATGCTTGATATACATTGGGAAAGTGTGACTTACTCAATGGACTGAAGTAGTTTTTCATGTTAACATCAGGAGCATGTGACTCAGCACAGGTTCTTGACTATTCGCCTGTTGCTGTCACATGTAGGTAGGAGAGTCCTCATCCATGTGTAAGCTCAACTGAAGGTCACAAGCACTGGAGTGCAAGAGACATTGGAGGCACAAAGTCTAGAACTGGCACTAGAATGTGATGCCTAAAGCTGCCAGACCATCAAAAAAGCAAGGTAGGAAGAGATAAAATGTCTGTAACATTAGAGGTAACAGATCGGCTTTGCGTGTCATTACCAATATATGCAAGAGATCAGCTCTGCAGCTGATCTATGACATTGAGCTTGTTACAGGCAGGAGGGCATTCCAGAGGACACATGAGAAAGGAGAGTAGGTTTTTGAAAGTAGATGAATAGAAATTGGACCGTGTGGACTGTGGCTGCTGCCAGAGGAAGAGGGTGACAGATATGGGAGTGAAAGTTAGATAGCAAAGAGCCAAAATATGGGGAATTATCCCCAGAATTTAGAAGAAGCAGGAGGTGAGGAAATAAGATGGCAATTTGATTTATATGATCGCATATGCCCCAGTGTGCTGCATATTATGTCAGCATATGGGCTCAGAATTAGCAAGAGGTGATGTGTTCAGTAATGGGGAGAGGGCAGGTGTGAGAGTGATATATACAGGGAGGAACAGAAGTATTTGAACACCCTGCAATTTTGCAAGTTCTCCCACTTAGAAATCATGGAGGGGTCTGAAATTCACATTGTAGGTGCATTCCCACTCTGAGAGACAGAATTAAAAAAGAAATTCAGGAAATCACATTGTATGATTTTTAAAGAATTTATTTGTCTTGCACTGCTGAACATAAGTGTCAGGGATCGCGGCTCCGGAATCAGGGATCGTGGCATCTCCCCCCGTGCATGCGCACTGGTGGCAGATCACGCCGGGACACAGGCACTAGGTCCCGGCGAGCCGCAGCTGACAGGACGCCGCGCATGCGCAGTAGGAGCCGCGGGCGAGCCTCAGGCGTCCAATGACAGCCGGGGGCGCGTCCTAGCCGGCCAATGACAGTGCAGGGCGCACTATTTAAAGATGCCCTGCACTGTCACAGATTGCCGCAAGGTCTATCTGTGATCCTGAGTTCCTGCACCCGTTCTAGTGATCCTGATTGACCCTGACTACGCTGCCTTCTCCTGTGATTGACCCGGATTGCCCTGACTACGCTGCCTTCTCCTGTGATTGACCCGGATTGCCCTGACTACTCTGCCTTCTCCTATTCTGACCCCCGGCTTGCCTGACCATTCTACGGACTGACTTACCCTGCTGATCCTGCGTGTGACCTGACTACTCTTTGCCCGCCGATTCGGTACTCCGCTTACCCCCACGGGACCACGATCCGTTACCACCCTGCTGGGGTCGCCATCCTCTTCACATCTGGCTCTCCCGGTAACTGCATATGTCCCCGGGGGCCTCCTCAGCCACTGGTGGGCCTGCTCAGAGGTTGTGACCTGGCCCAGGACTGTTACAAGTCCATCCCCACCATCAGGGGCCCTGGTGAAAGCACAGCCCGGGCTTAGACCCCATGCTCTGGGTAGGTCTGTCAGTTGGCAGCCTGAGGCACCACCTGGCGGATCATAACAATAAGTATTTGAACACCTAAGAAACAGCAAGAATTCTGGCTCTCAAAGACCTGTTACTGTGCCTTTAAAAAGTCCACCTCTACTACACTCATTAATCTAACTTAGTATCACCTGTCTGAGCTCTTTAAAGACACCTGTCCACCCCAAAGTCAGTCAGACGCCAACTACTACCATGGCAAGACAAAAGAGCTGTCAAAAGACACCAGATACAAAATTGTGGACCTCCACAAGGCTGGAAAGGGCTTTGGGGCAATTGCCAAGCAGCTTGGTGAAAATAGATCAACTGTTGGAGCAATTGTTAGAAAATGGAAGAGACTAAAGACGACTGTCAGTCTCCCTCGGACTTTGGCTCCATGCAAGATCTCACCTCGTGGGGTATCACTGATGATAAGAAAGGTGAGGAATCAGCCCAGAACTACAAGGGAGGAGCTGGTCAATGACATGAAGAGAGCTGGGACCACAGTTTCAAATGTCACTGTCGGTAGAACACTACGCCGTCATGGTTTCAAATCATGCATTGCACGGAAGGTTCCCCTGCTCAAGTCACCACATGTCCAGGCCCGTCTGAAGTTTGCCAATGACCATCTGGATGATTCAGAGGAGGCATGGGAGAAAGTCATGTGGTCAGATGAGACCAAAGTTGAACTGTTTGGTCTAAACTTCACTCGTGTTTGAAGGAAAAAGAAGGATGAGTTGCATCCCAAGAACACAATCCCTACTGTGAAGCTTGGGGGTGGTAACATCATGTTTTGGGGGTGCTTTTCTGAGAAGGGGACAGGACGACTGCACTGTATTAAGGAGAGGATGAATGGGGCCATTTATTGTGAGATTTTGAGCAACAACCTCCTTCCCTCAGTCAGAGCATTGAAGATGGGTCGTGGCTGGGTCTTCAAACATGACAACGACCCGAAGCACACAGCCAGGATAACCAAGCAGTGGGTCCGTAAGAAGCATATCAAGGTTCTGAAGTGGCCTAGCCAGTCTCCAGACCTAAATCCAATAGAACATCTTTGGAGGGAGCTGAAACTCCGTGTTGCTCAGCGACAGCCTCGAAACCTGACAGATCTAGAGGAGATCTGTGTGGAGGAGTGGGCCAAAATCCCTGTTACAGTGTGTGCAAACCTGGTCAAGAACTACAGGAAATATTTGACCTCTGTAATTGCAAACAAAGGCTTCTGTACCAAATATTAACACTGATTTTCTCAGGTGTTCAAATACTTATGTTCAGCAGTGCAAGACAAATAAATTCTTTAAAAATCATACAATGTGATTTCCTGAAATTATTTTAAAATTCTGTCTCTCAGAGTGGGAATGCACCTACAATGTGAATTTCAGACCCCTCCACAATTTCTAAGTGGGAGAACTTGCAAAATCGCAGGGTGTTCAAATGCTTCTGTTCCTCACTGTATATATATATATATGGGGTGTGACAATTTAATTTCTGAAATGCCCATGGCATAGCAATACGGTGGGTAGTCAGACATCCATTCACGCATGAGTGGATAGTGTTCTGTAGAGCTTACCAGCTGTCCAGCTTACACTGCTGTTCAGAGACTTTGCTCAGCTTTACTACTACTGTCACTACTAGCTACAAGGAGAAGTCTTTCATCTGCTTCCAGCAAGGACTTCACCTAAAGCTCAACCAGAGATCACAGAGAGAGTCCTTCGTTGTAAATAGTTCTATTCTTGGAGTATCCCACTAAATCCTTCTTTCCCTATCCAAGTTCTCTAGACTGATCATTTAAGACAACAAGCAAAAGAGTGTGTGCAACTGGCTGTGAAGCCACCTTGTGCCTGGCTGTTAGACAAAAGTGGGGAAGACCTGGGCAATATCCTAGCAGCCCTTACAGGAATAGTGCTACACAATTATTTAAGAACCAATCAGATAAAAATGAAAAGTAAAATTTTACACTAAAGCTGGCCATACACTAAATGCCGGTTTACATATATGCAGATTGGATACGATTTGAACCACATCCAATCCGCATGACATGTAAAAAAACATTGCTTCCTATGGTGCCTATTCACATATGTCCAGTACACTGGCAGTGCGGTTTCAATGCAGTTTTTGAAATAGAGTCCTGTACAATTTCTAAGCAGGGTGGATTGGTTCAGGTGTGGATTACAGGCTATTGACTTCTATGGGAATTGTTCCTAAACCACAAATGTGTGAATAGGTTAAAATCCTGAGCTAATCCTGTCCTGAAGCTGATGTAAACCTGACATGAACCGCTGAACAACTAGCTGTGAAACTTGAGCTTCAATCCGCACCACGCATGTGTGAATCAGCATTCTAATAGAATTTCAGTTTTAAGAGCTTTCATTCAATTTTCTAATTGTGAGAGGGGTCAAATCAATATTCTTTTTCATCCACAGTGAAAATTCAAAGGAGCAGTATGGAAAATGTTTCTCAAACGAATTTCTAAAAGTGAATATGGTTTTTGTTTGGGAAAGTCCATTCACTCCAAAATTAAATGTTAAAGCAAATGTTTTTAGAAGTACTTTCAAACGACACTCGTCATGTCATCAAATGTACTGATGGTAATTTTTCTACTAATGTTCATAGGAACATTTGTTTGAAATTCTACTACTGTATGGCCAGCTTAAGACAGACCAGAGCCATAAAGATGACTTCAGCTCTCTGACCAAACAAGACAAAAAATGATGGAAACATCTGTCTCAATACCATCGATATAAGTTTTACAGTTGTAGGTAAAGCCTCTTACTCACAATGAGAATGATTGTCCTTTGTTATGCATGCTAGTCACATATTGAAAACGAAGAGGTTACTAAAGTTACAAAAATTCTCTTAAGGCAGAATACAGCTTCGGAAGTGATGTAATGTATTGTATTGTATTGTAATGTATTCTTTCATTTCTGACCATGCATGGTCTTGGTCACTTGAGTTTTTACGGAGGAATACTGTACTGATTAACTGAAAATCATTTGTTCTGTTATCGTACGAGAAAATTTTTCATGCTTGTCCCTTCAGATAATTTCACCTGAATCTGTGTACTAATGATCAGATTATTGGACGTTTTCTCTAAAAGCGGTATTTTTAGTCCGATTTTCTCATTTTGTGTACTAGGCTTAAGTCAATAGGCCATTGGTGCTAATCCAGAGGATTGCAGGATGACAGTTACTGATAGACAAAAAGGCAGTGGTTATATTAACCTCCCTGGCGGTATTCCCAAGTGTAGCTCGGGGTAGAGTTTCAGTACCAAAAGCGGTAACCCCGAGTTACACTCCGGCTTACCATGCAGCGTTGCTCAGGGAGTCCCTGCAGCGCTTACCTTGTCCTTCGCTACCGCGATGCGTCCCCCCTGCAGCGTCCCCGGCCATCTCCTCCGGCCGATGCTGGCATCCGGCTTCCGTGTTCCGGTCCCTGTGGCGTCGGGACATACGGGCGCAAATTTGAAATTTTTTTTAAAATGTCATTTTTTTTTTAAATGATTATTACATAGTAAAAACATTGCTGTTTCAAAACATTTCACATACATTTTGTTCCTAGTGCTTTGTCCTGTCCCCTGCCTGCATTTTGACTGTTCTTTCTGCCTGGAAACTTAGAAAAGTCCATGGCGTCCAAAAAGCATCCCTGTATGTCAAAAGCAGTTTTAGACCAGCTAGAGAACAGCGATAGTAAATCAGAACCACTTGCAGAATTGAGTGATAATGATTCGTGGGGAAATTCCTCATCAGACACTGAAAACGATTTTGCGACTTTGCTCAGCGATGTGCGAACTTGGCGCTATATTTCAAATTTCAGTGTTTTTGGTTTGATTATATTATTTAATTAAATTTATTATTATTATATTATTATTTTTTTATGATTATTTATTAAATTATAATTTATGATTTTGTGTTTCAAGTTTTATCATATCCGGAATGTTTACTAGACTCTTGTTCGGACAGATTTCAGTGAGTTATTCCTAAATATTACAGCCTACAATAAAAAAAAAAATACATATTTCCATGCAAAAAAATGGTACCGCTTTCAGCACCAAAAAATCTGAAATAATCATACCGCCGAGGAGGTTAATCAATGTATAATTGGTGATAATAAAGAGCATTACAGGATGACCATTGTAGGCAGACAGACAGCAGGGAAGTGTTTAAATTATTGTACTATTTGTGATAATACAGTGGATTGCAAGATGATAGTTGCAGAAAGACAGCAAGGCAGTGGTCAAAATGATGTATCATTGATCATAATACAGAAGCTGGCAGGATGTCATTTACAGACAGACAGTCAGACAGTTGCAGACAGACAGATAGACAACAATGCAGTGGTTAAATAATGTACCTGTGAAGGAACAGGGACAAAATAATGGAAGATGACAACATGATCTGGTGCCATGTTAAACTGCCATAACACATACATTCAAATTATCACTTGGAAAGATGCTTTCATCCCTTGGCATAAAAGATAAATGTGATATGAAACATACAAAAAAATCTCCCCCTTATCCATTATCACCCCAGCAAAAATGTACTCCCCCTCCTTAATTTGAACTTACCAGACCTCAAAAACAGCGGTGCTCAGTAGAGTGAATCTGGTCTTCATAGGCTCCCCTCACCTGTGTGTAAGCAGGTGCAGTCTACTTTCTCTACTGCAGGTTGTACTCAAAAGCAGCAGCCTTGCAGAGGGAGAGGAACTCAAGAGGAACATGGTTTTCTGGGTCATTGGGGAAGCTATCTGGTTGAATGCATGTGCTGGCCATCTTGGGTCAGGCAGAGTCTATTTAAGACTGTCAGGGACAGTGGATAGTGGTAGGGAGAGGTTCCAGATGAGTAGGGAAAGGGTAGGGACAAGCCATCCTTTCTGGAAGGTTCCCATTTGGACTGGCCAGGCTGCATTTGCATTTGCTGAATAACATTCAGTTATTTGGTATAACTGAATGTGCTTAGATAACAGAACTGGAAAATATTATTGAAAGATCATGATTAAAATAATGCCATGGATTTATGGATATGAGTATCTGTTTCTACCTTTTTTACCTTGGTTGATGTTTCTTGTCTAATGTTACAGACTCTGAAGTTGAATGGATTACTTGCATCAGACCCGAGGCTGAAGGACTGCATGGACATGCTTCATGAAAATGTACAAGACTCTATCCTAGGAGCGACCATGGACCTAGAGGTCTTTCAAAAGTAATATAACATTTACTGTCTGTGAAATGGGGAGTGCACAACAAAATTCATAGCAGATGGTCAGAAATTAGCTTTAGGTTTTCAAAAGCACACTGAAAAGATGGCACCTTTTTTTATTAGCAAATATGTCAGCCACAGACTGGGACTACAGGCTGACATAAAGCACACAACCAATATTTAACAATTTCTAGTAAATTGAACATAGCTGTTATGTTTTGGTATAGATAGAATGATTATCATGTACTGTATATGGACTTTTCCACTACTGACTTGCTATATCCTGGATTTAGCAGCCTCACGGGCAGTGTAAATTCCTCCCGTGCAATCAATAACCGAGACTGTGATGATGTCTGAGGATTTATTAATCATGCAAGGGGTAGTGTAACACTTCAAAGAAAAATAAATGCATATGCAATTAGTAGATGATGGCACAAACATGTAAAATCAACAGTACAGCACAATGCAAATGTATTAATAAATTATTATTACTATTATACAGGATTTATATAGCGCCAACAGTTTTCTCAGCGCTTTACAATATAACGGGAGACAATACAGCAACAATACAGTTCAATACAAGAGGGATAGGAGCAGGGGTGGACTGACAACTCATGGGGCCCCCAGGCAATAGGGGATCATGGGGCCCCTATGTTCTCACCCACACTTAAACCACACCCATAAAAGCCTATGAAAGGTACCAGGAGCATCTCATGGGGCCCCCTACTGACCCTGGGCCCTCGGGCAGTGCCGGAGTTCCCAAAGGGTCAGTCCGCCCCTGGATAGGAGGGCCCTGCTCCTTGGAGCTTACAATGTATGGGCTATTGTAAGGCTAGACTGAGCTGGACAGGATTTATGTAGCTGCAGCTGCCTAGCATAACAGAAACTCCACAGGGGAGTCTATGATAGACCCAAAATGCAGTAGCAGCAAAAAAGGAAGAAATAAGCAAGCAAGCATGTGTTTGTTTCTTTCCAATCTAAGATTGTGGATGACCTTTCCCAGAAACCTGTTTTCTCTTTTTTTTGACCCTCCCAGAATGACTAAACAAAAAGCATGAATGACACTATTTCACTTGGTCAGTAGATGGCGCTGGCCCATTCAACCCAGAAACTATGCAAGAATCATTCTGGGCTGTAGAACGTGGCCAAGGGTGTCTCCCTTACCGGGCCTTCGGTTCGGTCCCGCTGGTCTGGCTACTCAGCAGTCTGTCAGCAGGTTGCAGACGTGCACTCCTCGGTTCCCATGATGCCAAAAGAGAGACATTTACCAGGAAGTTTGATAAAAGCCCTCTCACCACACCTCATGCTACCCCATGTCTCTAGGGAACTGTAATGCAAAGAACCCATTGGCTGAATTATATGGCTGCCATCTCAAATCACAACTCCCATGATTATCAGCATTCTGCATAGAAGCCTATAGACTGCCTGAGCTGTGGCTCGCCTCCTGCTGGCTGGAGGGGATAGTGTAGCATAACATGAACATCACAGTAGAGAGTGAAGCAACAAGGGGCAGTGTCTCCTTCTCCATGTGGTTGTAGCTCAGCACCTGACTGCACTGGTCTCTGCTTTAATCTTTATTACATAACTTGTTCACACACCAGGGTAATGTGGATCCTTCTTCCACTTAATGCATTGAAAAAATGTGTCATAGATGGCAGCTTTTTATCCTCATGTGTCTAAGCTGTTTAATAACAATTAAAGTTATACATTGAAGTAGAGAATGGCAAGCCGGACACTTAGGGGTTTATTTACTAAAGCTGGAGAGTCCAAAATCAGACTCCCTTCTGCATAGAAACCAATCAGCTTCTAACCTCAGCTTGTTCAATGAAGCTTTGGCAATGAAACCTGGAAGCTGATTGGTTTCTATGCAAAAGGGAGTCTGATTTTGGACTCTCCAGCTTTAGTAAATCAACCCCTTTATTTCTGCAACATATCTACTAGACTGATGGAGAAGGTCTCAGTCTTGCTCCATTATGAAGTGTTTAGGAACTGGAGAATAGAGTTGAGTTTCATATCTAACCTACATTATGTTATTTCAAAGAGAGATGGACTGCAAGAACTTTAGCAAAGGTTTCAGTTACCTTTTATTCTGTTCTAAAGAAATTGCTGTTTCCATTACTATGTTTTTTTTTAACTCATTTTTAAATGAGTAGTGTTTGCCTTCATTATATTTACCAGAGCAATGATTTTGTTCTCATTAGAAAAACTGCAGTGTTTGTTTCCCTTTAGGAGAGGATGAGCTTTATAAATGATCTCACCAGATATTAAACTCCTGTTGTAGGGAATGCTTGTAATCTGACTTTTATTTAAGTGTAAAATTTTAAGAGCAGTAAATCAATCAATCAATCAATCACATAACAGGATCACATACAGGATGCACCCAGACTGCCATATTGCTACTAAACGATCTTTGGATTTTTGACAATTTTACAAAATCACTAAAATTAGAGAATTAATAATAAGGCTATGTTTTAATAATATTGAAAACACAAAAATTGCTTGGCTTGTGTAATATTTATATTTGTTTTAAGGTATTTTTTTAATCACAGGAACCACACACAGGAATTTATTGCACTAGGTCTTGCATCAGCCTTAACAAGTATTGCATATGAATGATTACATCAGGAGACAAAGGTTCATGTTGCATGAGATTCAGCAAATGGGAAGGACTCATCTAATTTGTTATTCGTCTCTCCTGATGAATAGTAAATGGTTGTTGATTCCCAAAATGTAGAAATAGTTTTTTGCTTAATAATAGATGTTCATAAAGGGTGAGTTGGGGGCTAAGCTAGAGTCTGATGAATTAGTATAAATCAAATACCCCATTGGTGGCCAGCTGAAGGATATAGCTGTTAAAGTGTATCTATAGATGCCTTTAGTAAATTTTTGATACTGTGGGGAAGGGTTAAAATCTTTTACTTTTTTGTCCCTAACTTTCTAGGGTCACACAACAGATAGCAAAATACAGTGATAATACCTGTAGGTACAAGCCACCAAGCAGTGTTTAATACTGTGTTTAATATTTAATATACCCTTATTTGTTTTCTTTTACATTAATCAGGTTTTTTTGCATATATTCATTTTCTAGTAAAAAAAAAAAAAAGTCCCCTAGAAACATTAAATTTCATTCATGCTGGGCAGTACTGACCTCTAAACATAAAACAAGAGACATGCATGTATTATAATGTGATCAGAAATATTTCATATTACTTTATTTGTATCCTCTCAACAGGTGTGTCCAAAGTAATATTGTGCTCCTGACTCAGGTTGTCTGTAAAAAGTTTGTGATTCCAGATTTTGAACAGTTCACATTACACATAAACCGGCTATATGAGAATGCCCACGCTATAAAGGAAGGAGAGGTAAGCACCCTGCATAGTTAGGAAATGTGCATAGTCTTGTTAAGGTTTACTACAAACTCAAGACCCCATGTCACAATGCTTTCATTTGTAAAGACTATATAAGTAATCCTTGAATACTAATGCTACTAAAAGTAATACATCTAATATAAGTTAGTATATGCACTAGGGCATTTCATGGGGCCCCCTACTGACCTCGGGCAGTGCCCGAGTGCTCGAATGGTCAGTCCGCCCCTGCCTATAACTATTGGAGTTATAAGTGGGGTGCCCCAGGGCTCTGTCCTGAGACCAGTCCTGTTTAACTTGTTCATAAATGATAAAGGAGTTGGGATAAATAGTTCAATTTCAGTGTTTGCTGAAGATACTAAGCTAGGCAGGGTAATAACCTCAAAACAGGATATAGCAACTTTACAGGAAGACCTTGATAAAATAGAGGGGTGGGCAAACACATGGCAAATAAGGTTCAGTGTAGGGAAATGTAAAGTAATTTGGGGGCTTAAAATAAAAATACACGCTACACACTAGGGGGGAAAATTTCTGAGGGAATCAAGGATGGAAAAAGATCTGGGGCTCCTAGTTGATAAAAGAATCAGTAATAGCATACAATGCCAAGCTGCAGCAAGCAAAGCCAGTAGAATATTAACATACATTAAAGAGGGTATTTACTCAAGAAATAAAACTATAATTCTAACAATTTACAAAACTCTGGTTCAGTCACATCTCAAGTATGCTCTGCAGTTCTGGTCACCAGTCCTCAGTGTAGCGCTCTACTTTTGAAAGGGTTTTTGTGTGATAGCCAGAGGCTTGTTAGAAGCCTGGGATGAGCCAGCCTGGGAGTGAGGCAATGAGGTTACCTCAGGTCAAGCTGAGAGGCTCTAAAGCAGGGGTCCTCAAACTTTTTAAACAGGGGGCCAGTTCACTGTCCCTCAGACCGTTGGAGGGTCGGACTATAGTTAAAAAAAAAAAAAAACTATGAACAAATGCGGACACCATACAGGAGATGACCAGAGACTGCGGACATACAACGGCGGCGGGAATACTGGGCCAGCCGCTCCATAAGACGCACAGACATTTCCCCCCAAGTGTGTCTTATGGAGCGAAATAGTGACCCATCATTGGTGTCAGTGGGAGGAATATTGCCCCATCTTTGGTGTCAGTGGGAAGAATCGTGCCCCATCATAAGTGTCAGTGGGAGGAATAGTGCCCCATCATTGGTGTCAGTGGGAGGAATAGTGTCCCATCATTGGTGTCAGTGGGAGGAATAGTGTCCCATCATTGGTGTCAGTGGGAAGAATAGTGCCCATCTTTGGTGTCAGTGGGAGGAATAGTACGTCATTGGTGTCAGTGGGGGGGAATAGTGCCCCGTCATTGGTGTCAGTGGGGGGGGATAGTGTCCCAACATTGGTGTCAGTGGGAAGAATAGTACCCCATCATTGGTGTCAGTGGGGAAAGGAATAGTGTCCCATCGCTGGTGTCAGTGGGGGGGGGGGGAATAGTGCCCCATCGTTGGTGTCAGTGGGGGGTGGAATAGTGTTCCATCGCTGGTGTCGGTGGGGAGTGGAATAGTGCCCCATTGCTGGTGTCAGTGGGGGGAAGGAATAGTGCCCCATCATTGGTGTCAGTGGGGGGGAGGAATAGTGCCCCATCGTTGGTGTCAGTGGGGGGGAGGAATAGTAGTGCCCCATCGTTGGTGTCAGTGGGGGGGAGGAATAGTGCCCCATCGTTGGTGTCAGTGGGGGAAGGAATAGTGCCCCATGATTGGTGTGAGTGGGAGGAATAATGCCTCATCATTACTATCAGTGACACCAATGATGGGGCACAATTCCTCCCACTGACACCAATGACACTTAACTTGCTTACCCCTGCTCCAGCATGTTGCTGCGCAGCCAGCATACCTGGTTGCAGCACCACCATCAGCACGGGACACTTACCTGTCAGCTGTCCTTCTTCACTCCGGCCTTTCCCTCACTCGATGTTCGCGGGGGGCCGCTCGGCTCCGCCTCCTCATAGGTGATTGGCCGCCTGTGTGCCTTTCCTGAGCTACAGTTCTGGCACCCAATCACTGGTGAGGAGGTGGAGCCGAGCGGCAGGAGTGAGGGGAGTGGCCGGAGTGAATGAAGGAACGGCGCTTCCTGGACTGGATCGTCGTGGGACTGGGACCGGAGCCAGGTAAGGTACAGCAGCCCCCCGCCCACCCCCTGTACTTAGTGTCCCTTCCTCACGGAAAATACGCCCCTGCTGGTGGGCCGGATAAATGGCCTCGGCGGGCCGCATGTGGCCTGCGGGCCGTAGTTTGAGGACCCCTGCTCTAAAGTCTTCTAGACTTCTTCTGACCCTTCTAGAAACTGGAGGAACATTATAGAAGAGGGCTGGAGGAGGCCTAGATTTGCATGTTTAAGGGAGCTTGGTCAATCCCCAGGCAGGAAGCCAGGCATGGTGGCTAAGAGAGAGCCTGTGCAGCAGAGTAGTGTAATGTGTTTGGTGGAAGATGCACTGAAGGAAGGAGCCTGGGAGGGGGCCACAGGGAGGGGGCCTACCTACAGGCTGAAGCACACAGGAGGATCTCCTGCCCTACAGTCTCCTTGGGAGGACAGCCTGATAGCAGGGAAGGAGCTAGCCCAGTGTAAGGCATGAAAGAAGCTGCAACCCACTAAGCTACAGGACAGGACAGTGTGAGTACTCCTATGCCCCTTGGGCCACAGAAAGGAGAGGGCAGTCAGGTGCACAACCCAACTACTCCTCATCTGGGACTGCTTCACAATGGATTCTGGAATCCCTTGCCCAGGGATCCCCTCAGGACAGCTGGGTGTATGAGGAGAGTTCCATCTGGGGTCTAAGGAGGTACACCAAAGGGGACTCCTTAAAGAGACTGCTGCTAATTTTGATTTACAGTTCCTTGGGCATCCCATATACCCCTAGACCCCATCCAAGTTGTTAATGCCTAATATAAACAACAAAAACAAGCTCAAGGACTGTTTTACTTACTTTGGACAAGTATGTGGAAAAATGTGTTCCTTGGCTGTGCAAAGCTTAAGGGGGACCCAAAAATCCAGCGGCCCTCAAGAGGGTAGTGCTACATCAGGAAGGATGTGCTAAAACTGGAGAGAATCTAGAGAAGGGCAACAAAACTAATAAAGAGGCTGGAGGACCTTATTATGAGGAACGATTACAAACATTAAATTTATTCTCCTTAGAAAATAACTTAACTTAATGGTGATTCCAACATTGGGAGGAAACTGTTCAGTGTCAGATCACTCAAGAAGACACGTGGCCACTTAATGAGGTTGGATGAAAAGCGATTCAACCCTAAATGGCGTAAATAATTTTTTACTATTACAGCTGTATGGATGTGGAACTCCCTTCCACAACTGGTGGTTTCTGCGGGAATTGTCACTAATTTAAAGAAAAATTTTAGATGGGCATCTTATTGTACACATAATACAGGGATATGGGAAGTAGTAGAGACATACACAAACACACACACACACACACACACACACACAGATAGATGGACAGGAGTCTTTACCAACTATATTGTGTAATTCCCTCTACTGGCCATAAACTAGTAGAAAGTTATCATATTTGACTACACTGTTACAGCAAAATCATAAAGATACTTAAGTTTGGTTCACATGCTGCTTTGCAGATTGTAGACATTATAATAATTATATAATGACCATATACCATAACAATACCATAACAGATGTAACAAGATTCTCCATTCTGTTGTTTCTGCTGTCCGTCTACCCTCAGGGGCAGTAAAATCTTCAAAGCAAGCACTGTAAGAAATGAAATTTAATTTTGATCATACACTATATTGCCAAAAGTATTGGGACACCTACCTTTACATACACATGAACTTTAATGGCGTCCCAGTCTTAGTCCGTAGGGTTCAATATTGAGTTGGCCCACCCTTTTCAGCTATAACAGCTTCAGCTCTTCAACTCTTCTGGGAAGGCTCTCCACAAGGTTTAGGATTATGTCTATGGAAACGTTTGACCATTCTTCCAGAAGCGCATTTGTGAGGTCAGGCACTGATGTCAGGCGAGAAGGCCTGGCTTTCAGCCTCCACTCTAATTCATCCCAGAGGTGTTCTATGAGGTTGAGGTCAGGACTCTGTGCAGGCCAGTCAAGTTCCTCCACCCCAAACTTGTTCATCCATGTCTTTATAGACCTCGCTTTGTGCACTGGTGCCCAGTCATGACATGAAATTGTCCAAAATGTCTTGGTATGCTGAAGCCTTAAGAGTTCCCTTCACTGGAACTAATGGGCTGAGCCCAACTCCTGAAAAACAACCCCACACCATAATCCCCCCTCCACCAAACTTTACACTTGGCACAATGCAGTCAGGCAAGTGCCGTTCTCCTGGCAACTGCCAAACCCAGACGTGTCCATCGGATTGCAAGACAGAGAAGCGTGATTCACCAATCCATTGAACATGTCTCCACTGCTCTAGAGTCCACTTTGCATTGCATTGCACTTGGTGATCTAAGGCTTGGATGCAGCTGCTCGGCCATGGAAACCCATTCCATGAAGCTCTGTCGTGTGCTAATCTGAAGGCCACACGAAGTTTGGAGGTCTTTAGCTATTGACTCTGCAGACAGTTGGTGACTTCTATGCACTGTGCTGTTGTTCCCAGTTGCTTCCACTTTGTTATAATACCACTAACAGTTGACTGTGGAATATTTAGTAGCAAGGAAATTTCATGGAAGGACTTATTGCACAGGTGGCAACCTATCATGGTATCATGCTAGAATTCATCGAGCTCCTGAGAGCGACTCATTCTTTCACAAATGTTTGTAGAAGCCCTTTTTTTTAGAAAGTTTGGAGACCACTGATCTATTCACTCTCAGTGCTCGTCATGAGTTATTAAAAGAGAAAAAGAAATGGGTAAAATTAAAGCTAATTTTTTACTTTTTATTTTACTTCCTAAGGCTTCCTTCACACTCAGTGTGCGCACACTATAGTGCATGTCTGCTGTGGTGCATTACAATTTATTCTGAATGGTATCACAATGAACATATATATTTTAATAAAAAAACACACCTTTCCATACCCTTTTTCATGCTTTAGTGCAGGTTAATGACCCATTCAAAATAAACGGACTTCGAATGCCTTAACATAATTCTGCATCAGCGCAAGCAAGAACAATTGAAACAGCTGAAAGCACCACTTGCAGATTGAAAATACTGACTATTGAAAGATCGTCTTTATTCTGCATAGTGTACTGATCTTATAATAATAGGCCTTATTTTATTTAATTTATTTTTTATTTTTCACATAGAGCCACAATATGCTGTACATTTTACAGATTGTTGAATCATTCTTGCTGGCTCTTGCTAAGGTGGACCAAACAATCTAACATCCATACCAGCAAACTGCACTTAAGGACTGTTATGGACAGAAGGCAGTGTGCTTATCAACATGTTTTGGATTATGTGAGAAAAGACGATTTTTGCCCCATTAGTCTTTAATTGTTCAGAATCACTGGGTTTATTCGGCCGTACAGTAGTACCATATGTGCAATGTTTGTTATACAAAACAGTACATGACGGATCCCCATAACTATTGCCAGTACCAATATTTGTCTTTTACACCTTCCATTTTTATATTAACCAGCTCTTGGGCATTATCAAGCTTTATTTTAGTATGGTTATCTCACAAAATACAAAGGAGCCCAGGTGAAAATATTTGTCTTTTAGATTGTGTAGCTCATAGTTTTATCAGCACAAATGCTTAGATGGACTCTTTCTATGTAATGAGTGATCAGCAAAGACATGCCATAGTGGACATAAAAATGAAGGAATATTTTGCTACATACAGTGAATAAAAGAAGCTGTAGACATGAGGTGATCACCAAACAAACCAAATTTAGAGGAACTCTAAAGAGGCAGCTTGATGTCCATGGACTGTGCCAGAGTGCATGAGTGTTGGGATGATCTCAGGTACATAGAAAAATTTCAGAAAACATAATGACAGTTGACTAGTGAAAAATCTGCCTAAAGATGGTTTGTAATTAATCATATGTGGAGTAATTTATCACTACATTGGTGAATGCAATATAATATTTATTTGATCTCATGGATCGTGGAAAAGGTAGACATGGACATTGTGAACATCATTCAATCATGTTATAAAATCAAAGAATTAAAAGTAAAGAACTGTTCTTTACTTTTAATTCTTTGATTTTATAACATGATTGAATGATGTTCACAATGTCCATGTCTACCTTTTTGTAGTGATAAATTACTCCGCATAGGATTAATTACAAACCATCTTTAGGCAGATTTTGCACTAGTCAACTGCCATTTTGTTTTCTTAAGTATTGTTGGGTTTATAATCAACACTTAATTAGAAGTGAGACGGAGATATTATAAGGTGATTTAATTATATTAGATCATGATGGCAATTTTTTCTACTTTATATGTACGACATAGTATATTTCAGTTATAGACTGAACAATTCTGGAGATAACTGTCCTTGTTATAAGGACATAGTATAGTTCAGTTACTGGAAACAGTGATAAGGACATACATTTACTGGAAGTGAGGTGAAACTCGAAAAATTAGAATATCGTGCAAAAATTCATTTATTTCAGTAATGCAACTTAAAAGGTGAAACTAATATATGAGATAGACTCATTACATGCAAAGCAAGATAGTTCAAGCTGTGATTTGTCATAATTGTGATGATTATAGGCTTACAGCTCATGAAAACCCCAAATCCACAATCTCAGAAAATTAGAATATTGTGAAAAGGTGCAATATTCTAGGCTCAAAGTGTCCCACTCTAATCAGCTAATTAAGCCATAACACCTGCAAAGGGTTCTTGAGCCTTTAAATGGTCTCTCAGTCTGGTTCAGTAGGAATCACAATCATGGGAAAGACTGCTGACCTGACAGTTGTGCAGAAAACCATCATTGACACCCTCCATAAGGAGGGAAAGCCTCAAAAGGTAATTGCAAAAGAAGTTGGATGTTCCCAAAGTGTTGTATCAAAGCACATTAATAGAAAGTTATGTGGAAGGGAAAAGTGTGGAAGAAGAAGGTGCACAAGCAGCGGGGATGACTGCAGCCTGGAGAGGATTGTCAGGAAAAGGACATTCAAAAGTGTTGGACTTTCACAAGGAGTGGACTGAGGCTGGAGTCAGTGCATCAAGAGCCACCACACACAGATGGATCCTGGACATGGGCTTCAAATGTCGTATTCCTCTTGTCAAGCCGCTCCTGAACAACAAACAACGTCAGAAGCATCTTACCTGGGCTAAAGAAAAACAGACCTGGTCTGTTGCTCAGTGGTCCAAAGTCCTCTTTTCTGATGAGAGCAACTTTTGCATCTCATTTGGAAACCAAGGACCCAGAGTATGGAGGAAGAATGGAGAGGCACACACTGCAAGATTTGAAGTCCAGTGTGAAGTTTCCACAGTCTGTGTTGATTTGGGGATCCATGTCATCTGCTGGTGTTGGTCCACTGTGCTTCATTAAGTCCAGGGTCAACGCAGCCGTCTACCAGGAGATTTTGGAGCACTTCATGCTTCCTTCCGCAGATGAGCTTTATGGGGACGCTGACTTCATTTTCCAGCAGGACTTGGCATCTGCCCACACTGGCAAAAGCACCAAAACTGGTTCAATGACCGTGGGATTACTGTGCTTGATTGGCCAGCAAACTCGCCTGACCTGAACCCTCATAGAGAATCTATGGGGCATTGCCAAGAGAAAGATGAGAGACATGAGGCCGAACAATGCAGAAGAGCTGAAGGCCGCTATTGAAGCATCCTGGTCTTCCATAACTTCAGCATGCCACACCGCTGATGCTTAAATGCCACACCGCATTGAGGCAGTAATTGCTGCAAAAGGGGCCCAAACCAAGTACTGAGTACATATGCATGCTTATACTTTTCAGAGGTCTGATATTGTTCTATGTACAATCCTTGTTTTATTGATTGCATGTAATATTCTAATTTTCTGAGATTGTGGATTTGGGGTTTTCATGAGCTGTAAGCCATAATCATCACAATTATGACAAATCACGGCTTGAACTATCTCGCTTTGCATGTAATGAGTCTATCTCATATATTAGTTTCACCTTTTAAGTTGCATTACTGAAATAAATGAACTTTTGCACGATATTCTAATTTTTCAAGTTTCACCTGTACTGCAGGTTTGTCATTAACACCATTTGGCCAAATCTTAACAAAATCACAGTTCATAAACATGCAATTGTCTCTCCGTCCACCATACTCACTTTAGACATGTGCCTTATGAAGTGGCATCCTGAGGCAGGTGCGGGGGGTGCTCGCTGCACTGAGTGACATCTACCACATGGGGTGACACCGGACCCACTCCCGAAAAGGTAAGTTGTAAAGCAAGCCGACGATCCCTGCAGGATGGATCCGATCCATCCTGCGAGGATCGTCGGCTTTCTTTACAACTTACCTTTTTGTGGATCAGGGTCTGGTGTCACCCCGTCTAGGTTGCATGCGATGATCCCCGCAGGATGGATCGGATCTGTGGATTGGGGAGCATAATGGATTGAACTCCGCTCCATTATGCTCAATCCGCAGATCCAGAAAGTTCCAGAGAATTAATGTTGATGAATTTTCAGCACTGTACAAACAACTGAGGCAGAAGGCCCTTATGGGGAATGTGATCTGTTTAACAGGTATGTGTATATCTGTATATACTATATAATATGAACACAAAGTAAAGTTGGAATGCCACCTATGGAAATGTGCTTGCTTGAAAAGTCAAACAATCTATAAATATTTACACAACTAGCAAGAGAAAGTAAATGCTTTGTTCTCAACCACTTTATGTATTTTTCTTCTTTTTCTAGGTGGCTAACTACATTCCACAGCTTGCCAAAGTCAGTCCTGACAAATGGGGAGTGTCACTTTGCACTGTAGATGGACAAAGGTGAGAAGTTTGGTTCATATTTACACAAAAACACGTTTCCTTATGTTCATGAAACTTTAAGGAAAGTGCAGAGTCTTGTTGTGCATATGTCACTGTACAAATCACTCTTCTGCCTTTGTATTTATTGCCACCCAACTAAATATATAATTTGTAAGACATTTACAGTAAAGCCTAGCACACATGGTTAGAAAATCGTACGAAAAATAACGCTTTCGAAGAGATCGTATGAAAATCTGATTTAGTACACAGCTTTCATCCAAATGGAAGGGACAAGCAGAAAAATTACCTGATAGTACGATTTTTCATTTAATCAGTACAGTTTTTGTCTGAAAATACAATACAAATACAATACATTACACCTCTTCTGAATTTGTAATCTGTTGTACAAGAATTTTCTTAACTTAACCTAGTAACCTCTTCACTTTTGATATGAGACTAGCATGCAAATAAAAAACAGACAATCATTTGTCTGATATTCTCCTTCTGTGTACAGGGCTTAAGAGATGACCATGAGTTACTAAACTATGCTTATGATTCTTATCCATGAACTTCTTACTTTCATGGGATCTAGGTGTATGTCAAACCAAAGCTTTTTTTCTTAAGCCCCGTACACACAACAAGAATATTGGACGAATGATAGTCTGGGTTTTTTTTTTTGCATGCTAGTCTCATATCAATAATGAAAAGGTTACTAAAGTTAGGAAAATTCTCTTACGACAAAATACAAATTTGGAAGTGATGTCATATATTTGTAATGTATTTGTATTGTATTTTTGGGCAAAAACTGTCCTGATTAAATGAAAATTGTACGATTTGGTATCATACGAGAAAAATGTTCGTGGTTGTCCCTTCAAATAATTTTGGATGAAAGCTGTGTACTAATGGTCAGATTATTGTTCGATCACTTTGAAAGCAATATTTTTGGTATGATTTTTTGATTGTGTATAGTAGGCTTTAGTTTTGGCTGGAGTGGAGAAGGATTACATCCCTTGTCAAGTTTTTAATATTATGTACGGTTCCATTAGAGAGGTGTACTGTCACTTCTCGTGCATTTGGCAGCAAGTTAGCGGAACTCTCCAACAGCAACACAGACCAAAAATATTTTATAGTAGAGTAGATGAAGGCTAGAACCTGTCAGAGTCTAATTGCTGTCTGTGTGCTTATGACAGATTTTTACCTCACTTCCTGTAAAACCATTGTCAGCAAGACAGGAACTGAGAGTAAATCTCTCTAACAGAGCTCTGGATAGCAGTACAAACCCATCAGGTGGTGTTATCCTTCCCCACTCTGTCAAAAACTAGAAATGTTTTTGGCTTGCCATAACATTTTATTACCTTTAATAAAAAACCTCCAAAGCAGGGTGCAGGCAGTTGAACCCTTTGACTAGTACTGTCAAAGAGTAGAGAGAGAGAGAGACTACTACTTTGCAGCCTTCCAAAGAAAAAAAATCTAATCTTTCAGTTTATTCTATTGAACTGCATCCATCCTCTATAAGATAAACAACCTATATCACTGTTTTTGCTTACCTGACAGCACCTCTGTATTCCTTCTGGCTCGGGTCCCTGAGTCATGACACAGAGAGCAATCTGATTAACTATTTGCCCGATCAGCCAATCAGTAGGGCTTCCTGCACACAGATCCTGAACTCAAGAGTTACAGAGCTACTGTCAGGTAGGTGAAATAGTCTGGTTGCAGAGGTAGAAAATCCATTGTCATGAAGGGATTAATACCAGTAAAATGACCTTCTTACAAAATCAATTATAGAACTAAGAAACACTTACATATGGCAATATTCAGCAGCAAAACTAATGAATAAATCAAGGTCTCCTAACAATTTAAATTGTTTCACGATTTTAATAGAAAATGGTGGTGGTAGGTTGTATTGATCCGTTTGGTTATTTTTGCAATTGAATTGCTGGTTTAACTCCCCTGCTGACGTGGGTTGCAAAATTTATAACAGGCTGCACCTAACTGGTTATAAGCTGGAATATCTGGTCATTTATTAACAACATCCTCAGCTGTAAGTAGAATATACTGCAGGTCATATGAGTGAAACACATGAACGATCTAGTGCAGAACACATAATACAATGTGTAAGTGATGGCCTATGTGCAGCCAAAAAACACATATAGAAAAATCAGCACTAGGGACATAACCCACAGTTAGTATGATGTGTCCCTTGTGTTGATTCTTCTTCTTTTAGCAGTAATCCACCCGGTCCTGTACCCCCTTTCCCCCTGCTGCCATAATCTTCCAAGATCTATGAATGGAGAGTGTGACCCTATCAATCTTCTACCCGAGCCCCATTCAGTGATGCTGTAGTATGGGCTGTAGTAGGTGCTGTAGTATGGCTTCTATGAATGCATATCCAGTGGGAAAGGGCTCTCTTTAGTTGTATTAACCCCCGCCCCCCTAATCTGCAGCATTGCGTGGGGGGGTGCAGGTCTAAGTAGATCACTACTAAAAGAGGAAATATCAACACAAGGAACACATCATAATAGCTGTAAGCCATGTCTCTTGTTCTGTGAAGCTGTACTCAGGATCAGTACAGTTCATTAGTTATTTTATCTTCTAATATTTTATCTCACAATATTTTTTTAGAAAAATCATTCAATATGCATCCATAAAATCAAATACAGCAGGCGCTGAATTGTTTTCTGCATTGAATATCTATTTAACAATTGAATATATATATATATTGGTGGAATATATAATATATATATATATATATATATATATATATATATATTCCACCAAATTTGATATGTAGGCAGGGGTGGGTGCATGGATCTGAGTGTGGCATCAGATCCATGCACCCATTTCTGCCCACATGTCAAACTTTGATAAGTGATTGTGTTGTGCAGCTGTTGTGTGTTCATCCACTTCTATGGGCTTTCTGCACACAACTTCAGCCAGTGGCTCGACACAGAGGATGGGACTAATCACCTGTCTGAATGAGTCCTACACTGTTGTGAGAGGGAGACCACCTTAGTGGGGTTGGGGGAACCCATGCTGCAATTCCCTTGTATACATTGGGCAATAAACAGCTTTCTACATAAAGGGAGCACTACAACAAGGCCTTATTTTGGGTCTCTTTTAGCTTCATAGGCAACAGAATATTATACCTAAAACCAAATGCTAAAAGCAAATCAAAATTTTGAAGTACTTTTAAACAACATTTGTCAAGTGTCTGTTGGCATTATCAAATGCATTGGTGAGTTTTTTTTTTTCATATGAATGTTTGTCCGAAAATCTACCAGCATATGGCCAGCTTAAGTTTTACGTCACTAACCTCCACTGTATACATTATGCTGAGAGAAGACTTAGGTAGCTGAATTGCTAAACCAGGAAGATGAATTGCTTAATGGCATGACAGGAAGCAACTAGTATTTTCAGAAGAACAGGTCTGTAATGGAAAACACATTTCTTTTGAAGTACAGGATGTGATACTGTATGCGTATGACAATGGGTTATGTATTCACAAAGAAGTAAAGTATTGCAGAATAAGCCTTTAACACTGATGTGTTATACAACAATTAAGCATTTCCCAAAGGAAATAAATAAGTGGAAATGTGGTTATTTTATTTGTTCAATACTACTTGACCTTCCCTATTTCTTTTCTCTACAAGGTACTCAGTGGGGGACACCAATATCCCATTATGCCTGCAGTCCTGTGTGAAGCCTCTTAAATACGCCATTGCTGTGAATGACCTTGGTACAAACTATATCCATCAGCACGTGGACAAAGAACCCAGTGGTCATCGGTTCAACAAGCTGTCATTGAACCAACAAGGTGAGAGATTTAGGTTGTCCATACCTGAACTGAAAGCGGAGCTCCACCCAAAAGGGGTAGTTCCGCTTTAAAGACTGGTCCCCTGATCCCCGTTAAGGACTGGCATCTTTGGGGAGCATAGGGAGAATGGGTACCCAAAATTGACAGGTACACGCTCCTACTTCCGCTGCGATCACCTAGGCAACTGGAACGGGAAGATGTTCTCCCCCCTCCCTCCCCATAGTCTTCTGGGACACGTGACAGGTCCCAGAAGACTGTGGGACAATTTAGAAGCTGCAAGCTGTCACAGCTGGTGCCCACATTGAAGATGCTGGTGCCAGGAACACCGGACGCCCAGAGAAATGGGCTGCAGGGAAGACACCACGGGATTGAGGGACAGGTAAGTGGCTGTTTTTTTAAGAGTCAGCAGCTACAGTTTTTGTAGCTGCTCACTCTGATTTTTTTACACTGTGACTGGAACTCCACTTTAATATTGCTGAGTCTAGGTGAAATTGTCACATGCTTAGCAGATTTAAGTTTGATGACCATTACTTTTAGAAATATGCAGTAACCATAGCAACTGATCAGATTTTTTTTTACTGTAGTGAATCAGTAAAAGATTAATTGTGATTAGTTGCTGTGGGTTTATTTATCTATTTATGTAAATAACATGGAGTACTTTACAAAGAGCTATGAACTACTAACATTAGTCGCAAAGAACCTTTTAAGGGTCGTAAGGGTTCTTTTATTGAAAGTTACCCACTCTACCTAGAACTCCTCCTAGAACTAAACTACCAAATGTCAAAAACTGCTTACTTAAAGTGGTTGTAAAGGCTGAAGGTTTTTTACCTTCATGCATTATATGCATGAAGGTAAAAAACCCTTCTTTGTGCAGCAGTGCCCCCAGCCTCCTCAATACTTACCTGAGCCCCATTGCAATCCAGCGATATGAGTGACAGCCTCGGCCATCACGGGTCTCTGCCTCCTCATTGGCTGACACAGCAAGCGGGAGCCAATGGCTCCCGCTGCTGTCAATCACAGCCAGTCAGCCAATGAGGAGTGAGAGGGGTGGGGCCAAGCTGCAGCTCCATGTGTGAATGGACACACAGAACAGCGAGTGCCCCCATAGCTGCTGCTTGGTGTGGTGGCACCTAGACAGGATGGAGGGGGAAGGAGAGCCTGCGGGGGATCCAAGAAGAGGAGGATCCGAGCTGCTTTGTGCAAAATCCCTGCACACAGCAAGTAAGTATAGACATGTTTGTTATTTTACAAAAACAATGAACCTTTAGAATCACTTTAACCTTTGTACACACAATCAGAAAATCGTACAAAAAATATCGCTTTTGAAGCAATTGTACAATAATCTTTTCGTTAGTACACAGCTTTCGTTGAAATTATTTGAAGGGACAAGCACCAAAGTTTTTCTCAATTTGTGTTTAATCAGTACAGTTTCTGAAAATACAATACAAATACATTACAACACTTCCGAAATTTTTATTCCGTCCCACAAGAATTTTCGGAACCTTAGTAACTTTTTTATTATCGATATGATACTAGCATGCAAAAAAAAAAAAAAAAAAAAGATAATCATTCGTCCAATATTCTCATTGTGTGTACAGGGCTTTACCCAAGTAGGACAGTTACAGCACACTTACATATTTACATCCTTCAGCCAAAATCTTTCTCCCCTGGCTGAGCATGTACAGTGAACCCTTGTATAAGACTTGTATAAGGTTGTCTCACAAGACTAGAGGCAAATTTGGGGAGGCAGCACTATACAGCCAGCTGTGGGGGAGGTTAGGGTACTTTAGATCAGGATGGCTAGGACGGATGGGTATTTTAATAAGAGTACCCCAAGCCTTTATAGCCAAATTTTTCGGCCTCAACTGGAATATGCAGTTCAGTTTTGAACACCAGGTCACAGAAAGGATAATAGGGAACTAGAGACTGTTCTAAGGAGGGAAACCAAACTGATAAGAGGCATGGAGGAGCTCAGCTGTGAAGAAAGATTAGCTGAACTGAATTTTTTCTCTCTCAAGAAGAGGCGACTAATAGGGGGAAATGATAACCATGTACAAACACCTAAGTGTATCCATATAGTGAACTTGGTGTATAGTTATTTACTTTAATATCATTACAAAGAACAAGGGTCTCTCTTTATGTCTGGAGGAAAAAGGATTTCACCTCCACATACAGAAAAGGATTCTGAACAGCATGAGCTGTGAAAATGTGGAATAGACTCCCTCAAGAACTAGTTCTCGCCACCTCAATACGCTGTTGTAGAAAGAGCCGGATGCATTCCTAAATGCACAAAATTTTACTGGATATTAGCATTCCTATATAATAAAAAGAATACAAATGTTGCACTGTGTTACTTAATTTAATGTGTCTTAGTTACATTTATCCCAATACAAAGGATCATAATGTTATCAAAAATAAATGTGACGTGTGTACCAACATTATAAATCTAAATACAATAGAAAAAAAAAAAAGAAAATTCAGAGGGTGAAACCACTATTCCGAAGTGGCACAAAAAATAAAAAAAATACCTATTAATAAATAAATAACCATAGATGCTGATGGAAGGCCACCACTTATATGCAAATGTCCAAATGAAACAAGTAGTTATGTGTAGGAGGGTTCTGCCACCATTGCAAATATTATCATGTGTTTTCACTTGTGAATGACAATAAGCAGCCTTGTGAATTCAGCACCACCAATTGCAGCCTCTTACCAAGTGATAAGACCCCAAATTATAGGTGGTCTTATAACAGCATGTTGTCAGTATCATCCATCCACAGCATTGAGGGCAAAGCTTGTGCTGACATCATTACTCCAGCTGGAGCTAGCAGTGGTGGTGGTTGTGCCAACATGAGATTTGTTCTTGTACCTATGTAAGTAGATGCACAAATACTTATTACAATACATCTGCGGGTTGCACTATGGAATGCTTGCTTATCTCTTACATGGCTTAATGTACATGGCAGAACGGAGGTGCAAACAGTGAATCCCTGCTCTGAAGTTCCTGAGTGCCATTGAACAACCTGTTGCCCTGATATCCTATATGGTTCCAAGGCTGTGGATGAATGATTACTGATAACATGCTGTTATAAGGCCACCTATAATTTGGGGTCTTAGCACTTGGTAAGGGTTGCAGTTTGAGGTGGTGGTGAATTCACAAGACTGCTTATTGTCATTCACAAGTGGAAACATATGGCAATATTTGCAATGATAGTACAACCCCGCTGCACATAGCTACTTGTTTAATTTGGACATTTGCATATAGGTGGTGGACTTCCATCAGCATCTATGTCTATTGACTTATTGATTGGTATTTTATGTCACTTTGGAATAGTGGTGTCACCCTCTGAATTTTCTTCTTTTTTTTCCCTATTTTACATTGCTCAAAAAAATTAAAGGAACACGTTTTTAATCAGAGTATAGCATCAAGTCAAAAAAACTCCTGGCATATTGATTTGGTCAGTTAAGTAGCAGAGGGGGTTGTTAATCAGTTTCAGCTGCTTTAGTGTTAATGAAATTAACAACAGGTGCACTAGATGGGCAACAATGAGACGACCCCCAAAACAGGAATGGTTTTACAGGTGGAGGCCACTGACATTTTTGTTCCCTACTCATCTTTTCTGACTGTTTTTCACTAGTTTTGCATTTGGCTAGGGTCAGTGTCACTACTGGTAGCATGAGGCGATACCTGGGCCCTACAGAGGTTGCACACACAGTCCAACTCCTCCAGGATGGCACATCAATATATGCCATTGCCAGAAAGTTTGCTGTGTTTCCCAGCACAGTCTCAAGAGCATGGAGGTGATTCCAAGAGACAGGCAGTCACTCTAGGAGAGCTGGACAGAGCCGTAAAAGATCTTTAGCCCATCAGCAGGACTGGTATTTACTCCTTTGTGCAAGGAGGAAGAGGATGAGCACTGTCAGAGCTCTACAAAATGACCTCGAGCAGGCTACTGGTGTGAATGTCTCTGACCAAACAATCAGAAACAGACTTCATGAGGGTGGCCTGAGGGCCCGATGTCCTCTAGCGGGCCCTGTGCTCATTGCCCGGCACCATAGAGCTCGATTGGCATTTGCAGTTGAACACCAGAATTGGCAAGTCTGCCACTGGTGCCCTGCGCTTTTCACAGATGAGAGCAGGTTCACCCTGAGCACATGTGACAGTCGTGAAAGGGTCTGGAGAAGGCATGGAGAACGTTATGCTGCCTGTAACATCGTTTAGCATGACTGTTTTGGTGGTGGGTCAGTGATGGTCTGGGGAGACATATCCATGGAGGTACACACAGACCTCTACAGGCTAGACAATGGCACCCTGACTGCCATTAGGTATAGGGATGAAATCCTTGGACCCATTGTCAGACCCTATGCTGGTGCCGTGGGTCCTGGGTTCCTCCTGGTGCATGACAATGACTGGCCTCATGTGGTGAGAATATGCAGGCAGTTTCTGAAAGATGAGGGAATTGATACCAGTGAATGGCCCCCACACTAGCCTGACCTGAATCCAATAGAGCACCTCTGGGATATCATGTTTCAGTCCATAAGACACCACCAGGTTGCCCCTCAGACTGTCCAGTGATACCCTAGTCCAGACCTGGAAGGAAATACCCCAGGACACCATCTGTCGTCTCATGAGGAGCATGCCCCAACATTGTCAGGCATGCATACAAGCACATGGGGCCATACAAACTACTGAGTACCATTCTGAGTTGCTGCAATGAAATGTCAGTAAAATGGACTAGCCTGCTGCATCATTTTTTCACTTCGATTTTTGTGGTGTCTTTAAATTCAGTCCTCTGTAGGTTGATAATTTTCATTTCCATCAAATGATGTGGCATCCTTACATTCCTAACACATTACCCAGTCCATATCACTATAGATATCCAGCATGATATTTTTCCCCATTGAGATCTGATGTGTTTTCAAAGTGTTCCTTTAATTTTTTTGAGCAATGTATATGGGTTTATGACATTGGTACACATATCACATTTATTTTTGATAACATTATAATCCTTTGTATTGGGATGCATGTAACTAAGACACATTTAAATTAATAACACAGCGCAGTTTTGCTACCATTTTGTTAATTTCTAAATAATAACACCAGTGATTGTTGATCCAGGGAATATCTACTAGCGCTCTGGGGGATAAGGAAGGAATTTCTTTTTCCTGCACTGGAGCAAATTGGACCATGCATACTTTGTTCGCCTTTTTCTGATTCAACTGTGGGTTTAGGATTCTGTATATGGAGCTTTTCTATTATTTTTTTAATGTATTTTTTAAATCTATTTATTTATTTTTCTATTGGTTGAACTAGATGGACTGGTGTCTTTTTTCAACCAGACAAACTATGTAACTATGTAATGTTTTGTGAGAGGAATTGAAACTGTTACATACTGTAAGTGCTGGTTGCTTTTGTGAATACATCTTTTAACATGCATACATACATACAATAGGGAATCTCCTTTTAAATTAATCTTTCCCTACTGTAATAGTATTATAAAATAAATCCCAACCTTCAAAAAATATAGCAAAATTGTATTTTTGCTTGTTTCAAGACTGCATAAACAATCAGTTCCTAGTACTGGAGACCTAGAGAGACATAAACACACAATCTTCATGCATTCAATCTATCCATTATGAATACTGTATACTGTTTATTTTTATTATTGTTTAACTTTTGAGTAATTTCAGTTCAGCATTTCTAGCAGTAAAGAATTGATAGCATTACAGCTCTGGCCTATGTATTTACCAGGGAAATAGTTTACTAGTGTTGTACTAACAGACTACCGGTTCAGACTAAATGTCAATACGTTCTCATCTGCCCAAAACTAGCTTTGTACTCAAGTTTGTAAAAGACGTGTTTATGGATCAGCTGCTTTCACATGATTGTAAAAATATGGCATATACATACATAACCTGGCCTTCTAATCACAGGAAATGTGTACAGCCATCCATGGAAAGGGTTAACGCTTGCATGATCATAGGTCATTGATGCCTAGATACCCAAATCATATTTTCTACAGCCAGGGAACTTGATAATAATAATTTTGCTAATTTGCATGTCTAATTTTTTTTTTTTGGTAATTTTTTTTAAGGTAATGTAAGGCTTTTTTGGTACATTGTACCATTAAAAACCTGCCTGTTTTTTTAATTATTATTATTATTATAGACTGAAATGTATAAAAAAAAAATGTTAAAAAAAAAAAAAAAAAAAAAAAAAAAAAGTTTACATTTTTTTATTTTTAATTTATTATTTATTTTACTTCAGTTAAAAGTACAATTACAGTAATAAATAGAACGCACTGCATATGATACTGCAGCTTGAAGTTGGCAGTGCAGCCTGAAAGCTTTTTTCTGTCAGTGAAGACACCTGCCTACATGTGATCACTATGTCATAGTTGACTTTTTGATCACATGATCAGGAACCACTCTAACTACTGGGGTTGAGAGCCAGCAGCCATATCTCCAGCATGGTTCATGATGAGGTGTTTATAAACAATTATGTACAATTTTTGATTATTATGGTAGGGGTACAAAATACAATTAAAAAAAAAACATTTTATTTTTAAGATAAATATTGCATATTTGATATTATCATGTATTAAATGTTTATTTGTAATTACTGAAAAGGTTGAGCTCTGATTTAGGGCCGGTTCACTCCAAGACGCTCTGCGGTGTGTTTTTTTCAGCCCACTCATTTAAATGGACTGCAAAATGCGCTACAACACACTGAAAGTGCTTGCACTACTTTTAAAAATGCACTGCACCAAACCGAATGGTACTGCGATACCACATGATTTGGTGACCACATACGCACTGTGTTTGCGATCTGCATTTGGGGTTCCATTAACAATACATAGGCACCCGCATGCAGGTCACAAGGGCAGTGCAATAAAGGCCCAAGCAATGTTCCTTTCCCGCTCGGCGTTCTGTTGTGAACTGGCCCTTCACCTCTTTTAGTGATCTAATATATTAAGCATATTTACATATTTCTATTTGATAGGTAAACCCCACAATCCAATGGTAAATGCTGGAGCAATTGTTGTTTCATCATTGATTAAAGTGAGTATGAATCCAGGTTTCAGTTTGTTACAAGGCAAATGTATGTGTTCATTTGATGAAGCTTTATATGGGAAATGTCTAACTTCCCCTTTATCACATGTAGATTTGTTACTAGCTTAGGGCTCATTCACACTTCTGCTAGCATGCGGAATGTAAGTTTGGATGGTAGTACACTGAGAATCTAATTGTAGCCCTATCCATAAAGCTTCATCAATTGCATTGATTAGCTTTACAGTTGTTATAGTATAAAAATAGCAAAGTTCACTTAAATCCTTGAACACTGGCTAGACTTTTTATCAGTGACACTAGTGGCTCTGTTTTTGTTTTAGTTTAATATACTGTTCCTTAGAATTAGCTGAAGCCATAGCAGCTTTCCTGTGATTAAATGTGTGCAAAACGTAAATCACTTAAAGTGGAACTAAACTTTCTCAATCAACATAAACTATTTTTAATCATTATGCTGCTGGCTTTAGTAAATAGATGGATAGAATAGTACGTGTTATTTACCTGTTTTAAACTTTTTTTTTTCTTAACATTTCTTCTGTTGCTTCCTGGTTTCTGGCCTAGGCCAAAATGATGTCATACATTCCTTGAATCTTCATGAGCATTTTTTCTTTCATCTGGAGCAAGGGAGGAGGGGCTTTCTCAGCTAAGCATACCCTCCTCCCTGCGTGCCTTTGTAGTAAATGCTACATGAACCATCTTCTCTTACTCAAGATGGCTGAAGCTAGAAATGCTAGGGGGGTGTTTTTCAAAGTAATTTCTGAATACAATAAAGCATGGAGACATACATGGATGGATGGGTGAGTTTCATAGGTTTCATTCCCAGCCATGACACTACCTGTGTGGAGTTTGCATGTTCTCCCTGCGCCTGCCTGGATTTCCTCCGGGTACTCTGGTTTCCTCAAACACTCCAAAGACATGCTGGTAGGTAAATGGCTTATGTCTAAATTGGACCTAATATAAAGTCTATTTATTTTTTTATTTGAAGTACTTACATAGCACTGGAAATGTATGTATTTAAAGCGCTGTGTAGATTTTTGGTGCTATATAAGCGCCTCAGATAATTAAATAATAAATAAATAGCATTTACATTTATGGTGCTCAGATACAGTTTAGTTCCACTTTAAGCAATCTGCTAGAATTCACCACTTTGGCAACAAAGCACAAAATTGTGTTACAAATATTTGATTAAAGACAAGCAGGATTATTATTAAAAATCCGTAGCATGATTTTTTTTTTTACAGTAATCATTTTTAAAAATACATATATATATTAGTTAGTATTTTTAGTTATCGGCTGGAAAACAGGTATACATAGACTTCCTAGGTACTAACGCTGAATTACTTAATGGATGAGAGCCACTGGAATAAATGTTTCTTTTATAAACACCTCTTTCAATACATTGATATAATAAGCATGCTGTATTCAAATATCCAGCAAAAGCAAGAAAACACTCTTGTAAAATGTATAAGGTGATTCCCATGTAGTTTATTTGAACATAGTATACATTTTGCAGTGCTGAATATCATATGGTTAATCCAGCTGCTTAGTGAGGGAACATTGTACATTCATTTATATATTTTTATAAACACTCTTTTTTTAATTTCTTTTTTATTTATTTAGCAAGGTGCAAACAAGGCGGAAAAGTTTGATTATGTAAGTGTGTAACATTTTCCTTTATACTCTATCAGTCGACTTCTTTCAGTGTGGTTACTTACATGTCTTCCTGTCACAAATACTCAAAGTGAAGGCAAACAGAAGACATTGGCTGTGTTAAACATTAAACAGTACCTAAAGCAAAAGCATCTGTTTTATCCTTCCTGCAAGTTCAGATTATGTCTGGTCTGTGTGCAGGTCAGGGGTTAGGGGGACAAGGTGCAGAATCTTCTCTTTTCCTGCCAGTGCTATCCTGTTGTATATGATCTGAGACAGTCTGCACCTACTCCTATCGTATTTGTGTCCCTGTTGGAGACACCTCTTCATTCTTGTTGTTGAATGGAATCTCTACAACTTTTTTTCAGTATAGCAGGGGAAGTTTAGGACCTCTATCCATTAGTTACCACTGTCTAGATCTCTGTTGGAGAGAATTCCTCTCACTCCCTGTGTTTTATCCAGGCAAGGAGTCTTAAATTCTTAAGTAAACCTCTAAAGAGTTTTTATTGCATTTTGGTCTGCTAAGGAGTTTCCCCCCTCATTTGGACAGCAAGTGATTTAAAGCTAGAACATAGACATCCTAACCCTTTTCCACTCTATCCAAAATTAATTTCAAAGGAAAGTTCTACTTTGGAGGAGTTTCATGACATAGAGCTTTTTGAAACCTTGTCTATATTCCCACGTTTCTGGAAACAAGGCTTGTCAGTAGCAGGTGCTGCATTGACTACCAGCTAGATCCTAGACTCATCACAAATCAATGCATATATTTGTTAGCACACCATGGATCATTAAACCTTGACCAAAGCTTTTATTGCAGAACGATCACATCACAAAGGAACAAATGCAACATTTCGGAGCAGCACAGGACCACATGCCTGACAAAGGGGTCCTGCAAGGGTCTGAAACAATGCACTTGTTCCTTTGTGATAAGATCTTTCTGCAATAAAAGCTTTGGATGAGATATGATGATCCATGGTGTACTGGTGAATATATGCATTGATTCCTGTTGGAGAGACATCTTATTGTTGAACAGGATGTCTACAACTTTGTTCAGTACAGCAGGGGAAGTTTAGGACATCTGTCCATTTGTTATCACTGTCTGGATCTCTGTTGGAGAGAATTCTTCTCCACTCAATCCAAAATAATTAAAAAAGAGAGTTTTACTTTGTAGGTGCTTCATGACATTGAGCTATTCATAATAGATGCATGTAGAGACTTAGTACATGCTTTTGCAATGGATAGTTCAGCAGGAACAATTCATACATTATATAAAACACTGCACAGAATTATTAGTAGTAAAAAAGTACCTGTACATGTCCAATGTTGTCAGTGCTGTTTGCACTGAACATTTGAAACAGGTCCATTGCTGTGACAAGAGTAACCAGAAATAATGGAACATATGGTCAGTAGGTTTTAGTAGCAGGAACAGCTAATAAATAAGTACACTTTTAAAACACCAGGGTTAATCAAGCAAGTAATAGTGCACTGATGCACAGATTTCAGGTTTTTTGTCAAGAATTTTCCATCTAATCTATGGAAAGCAAGCATTATTTTACTTTTGATACAGCCCAATCCAGTAAAGAGACAGCGCAGTCCAGCAAAGAGATAGCTCCATATAGCAAAGAGACAACCCAATCCAGTGCAGAGACAGCTCCATATAGCAAAGAGACAGCCCCATCCATCAGAGACAGCTCCATATAGCAAAGAGACACCCCAATCCAGCGCGGAGACAGCCCCATCCATCAAAGAGACAGCTCCATAGAGCAAGGAGATGCCCCAATCCAGCAAAGAGACAACCCCATCCACCCCCCCCCCACACACACACAGACACCACTGCTACAGAGCAGGATATGTGGCTGCACTACGCTCACCTTTCTCTCCTGTGCAGCCGTCATGGTTAGGTGAGAGCCCACCGTTGTCTCATGCACTGTATTTCCAGCGGCCGCCCTGGGAGGTATATGTCCCCTGCTAGCAGGTCCTCTTCTGCACCTCCTAGTTTGCCGGAACCAGCCCTGCTGTAGGCATGGCCGCATAGTGGGAGGCAATTGGAGGCCATGGTCTGTAATAACCCTGTCCAGACTCCGATCACCACTCACCTCCCGCTGTGTAGCCTGGTAATCCACAGGCCACTCTTAGGACACGCAGCCCCGGCCCACCAGGCAAATGCCCGGTGTGCCCTATGGCCAGTTCGGGCCTGTACATCAGCTTGTCTCCACCTTCAATTCACACGGCTTTTTAACCACAATTGTTTAATCTTTGTCATATACTGTATATATTATGTCATATGGCTGACTCTCATACAACCTTATTCCATGTTATCGGAAACATCACAGATACTAAACCTCATGACCTGCTGACTCCTATGAGGTTTTTGTAGGATATCTGCAATTTATTTTAAACCAAATACCACTTGACCTTTTCGTTGTCATTTTTTGACTTCCTTCCTAGAAACATTCAGACAGCCCTACATACCGGATGTCTTGAAGATTTTATTTAGGATATATAACAGTAGAATAGAAAACTAGACTTTTTTGTTTCTAGGTGCTTAAAGATATATTGGATCTGTCCTCCAGGCCTTTATGTAGCTACCTTCGTGCCTAGACTTCCACTGACCTGTCTCTTTCTGTCTACTCAAGGTTATGCAGTTTCTTAAAAGGATGTCAGGAAATGAATACATTGGCTTCAACAATTCAACGTAAGGACAACAGGTGTATCAGTCTGGGTTCCAAGCTCAAGTTTGGAGAGCCTGCATGTCCCACAGTAATTATCCTGTCACACATTGTAAACAACTGTCTGCTTTATATTGTTTTTTATAGATTGGGTTTTTTTGCCTTATGTAACTCAAATATAGGTATGTTTTATTATAACCTTGACAACCATAATTGTGTTTTGATACTAATGGCACTAGTTAGAGACCAAGAGTTGATTTTTTAACTGCTCTGTTCAAATTACTAGAACTATTTTTATTCTTGTCTGCAACATTCAAAGCTAAAGTTAGATATAGACATAAGACATCCTGTAGTTACTATATGAAGATCTTTTCTTCTTTGACTAGACTGTTATGACTACAAATTCAGCAAGTGTGTATTTTGACCTCTGGTGCTATGCTTATGATTTTACTAACACTAGGAAACATTACAGTATTTTCAGCCTGGCCAGTCTCAATTCTCTTAAAGCAGAACTCCAGGCAAAACTTCTTTACATGTCTGTGTTGATGATTTCCTACCTTCACTGAATATGTCATCCATCTTCTGGTTCACTCAGTAGTTGCTCTGAAATAGTCTATTAATTTCCAAATCAAATTGTTAATTCACTTTGGTTTCCTGTTTGTAAGAGCAATAGCTGCTATGCCTCTTATTCCCCCAGCCACTAGTATTGGCACATCCCTTCTGTAGTTCTTTCTCCAGGAAGCAGTGATGCAATTCAGCCCTACATGCAGTGGTGAGCAGGTTGAGAGTCTCAGACTTTCAGACACACTTAACATGTACCCGCCCACATTCATTACAATTCCCTGTGGTTGATGGGAGCTGTAGTTTTCTTTTATTGCACAGAAAGAGAGGAGTGCTGTTACACCTCCTCCTTGGCAGAGCAGATGCTGTTATCATTTGAATTACAGAGATGCAGTCATAAAAATTTAATTAGACTTTTATCCTAAAAGGTATTGATTTCAAAATTGTATTAGCTGTTCAGTGTTTTGTGTAGGAGGCGTACTAATGGGTGATTTTTTTTTTGCCTATTTTCTTTAAATGGTCTTTGGCTGTCAAAGTAATTTAAAAAATGTTATTAGCTTTGCTATCTTTCATAACTATATATATTGTATCGTAAGGGCATAATTACATTTTAGCACATTCAACTAAATTACCCAGACCTTGTTGTTTCTTTACCCTTCTAAACCAAGCTGTCATACAAATGTATTGGTAAAGCAATGTGTAGAAAGTAATCCAGAGCAACCAACAGCAATGACCTTTCCCTAACTTGATTGCAGTAAATTACAATGTTGCCAATATTAGCAATTGCAGTAGGCATAGGCGTGCACACAGGGTGTGCTGAGCATGCTTGGGCACACCCTAATTACCCAGTGCGCATTAGCATATCACTGTTTGTTCCAGTGGGGAGATGGAAAAGATCTCTGGCGGGGAGGTCAGTGCACCTGTGCTATATATACATACTATATGGCCAAAGGTATTGGGATGCCTGCCTTTACACACACATGAACTTTAATGGCATCCCAGTCTTAGTCTGTAGGGTTCAATCTTGAGTTGGCCCACCCTTTGCAGCTATAACAGCTTCAGCTCTTCTGGGAAGGCTGTCCACAAGGTTAAGGAGTGAAGTCCTGGCTCGCAGTCTCAGCTCTAATTCATCCCAGGGATGTTCTGTTGAGTTGAGGTCAGGACTCTGTGCGGGCCAGTCAAGTTCCTCCACCCCAAACTCGCTCATCCATGTATTTATGGACCTTGCTTTGTGCACTGTAGCGCAGTCATTTTGGAACAGGAAAAGGCCGTCCCCAAACCTTTCCCACAAAGCAGGGACCATGAAATTGTCCGAAATGTCTTGGTATGCTAACGCCTTAAGAGTTCCCATCACTGGGATCCAAGGGGCCAAGCACAACCCCTGAAAAATAACCTTACACCATATCCCCCCTCCACCAAACTTTACACTTTGTACAATGCAGTCAGGCAAGTACTGTTCTCCTTGCAACCACCAACCCCAGACATGTACATCAGATTGCCAGACAGAGAAGAGTGATTTGTCACTCCAGAGAGCACGTCTCCGCTGTTTTAGAGTCCAGTGGTAGCATGCTTTACACCACTGCATCCAACGCTTTCCATTGCACTTCGTGGCTGAGTTGCTGTTGTACCCAGTTGCTTCCACTTTGTTATAATACCACCAACTGTTGACCGTGGAATATTTAGTAACAAGGAAATTTCACAGATGGACTTACTGCACAGGTGGCAACCTATCACGGTACCATTCTTGAATTCAGTGAGCTCTTGAGAGAGAACCATTCTTTCACAAACGTTTGTAGAAGCAGTCTGCATGCCTAGGTACTTGATTTTATACACCTGTGGCCATGGAGGTGATTGGAACACCTGAATCCAATGATATGGAGAGGTGTCTCAATACTTTTGGCAATATAGTGTATATTTCAGTGGAAATTGGTTCCTTGACAAGCCAACATTCAAAACAAAATATAGAGAGATGGGAATGTCCATCACAAAAATATGTATCTTCACACTTTTTAACAGTATGACAAAGAGCAAAAGAGATAAGAAACCGGATATAAACAATCGGTATCTTTTCAGTTCTGTGCTGGCACTGCAAGTGACACACAGGCACTTCTTACATGTTTTCTGGTCATGTCCTATAAAGCTATACTTGATTCCAATAGGAAAATTACAGGTATCATCCTCCCTGTTCATTTATCTAGTTGTCTCTTTCACAGCTAAACAATACAAAAGTGTGGTTCATATAAACAACTAATGAAACAGATGCTTGAAGTAAGTCACATTACTAAAATGCAACAAATGTTTTTACCTACTCCAGACAGACTCCAGTGCTGCATTAAGACATGGCTCAACTGGATAGAGTTCAAAGAACCTGACAGCTACTAACAGTTGCCATCACAAACCCTCAAACCCTTCTCCAAAGCTCAAAATGTATCATTGGCACTACCTATCCTGAGGATTAACCGTTGTACAACCCTTTTTAAGTTCTTTCTCTGTCTGCCTTTTCCTTCCCTTGCTTCGGACCATGCCACTTTATACATTCTATAGACAAGTATATGAACACCCCTTCAAATTAGTGGACCTTGCTTGGATTAAGGGACCATTCCGAAAGTGCTGCACTAAACTGAAAAAAGAAAACCTTCAGGGGAAAAAAATTTAATATACTTACCTACCCCTGGCTTGCATAATTAAGGAATGATGTCTGACAAATATTCCAATGAATGCTGAGTGAATGAATTAGTGAATACTTGGTAAATGACATGTCCTTGTCATCTTCTAATACTGTATTAGGTTCTAAGACCTGCTTGATTCAGCCTGTATAATAATGCTAGATGATAGTAACGTTATTATTTTATGCTATATTTTTTAATTGTATTTAGAATAAGGTACTACATGCAGGGGCAGACTGACAACTCATGGGGCCCCCGGGCAATAGGGGATCATGGGGCACCTGTGTCCTTGCCCACACTCAAAAAAAGCCTATAAAAGGTACCAGGGGCCCCCTACTGACCCCTTGCCCTTGGGCAGTGCCCATGTGCTCGAATGGTCAGTCTGCCCCTGAATACATGGTAAATGAGGAAGCTTTAGTAAAATCCACTCTTGGTCTCAGCTGACTCTGGTCTTACATTTAGTAGTGCAGACCTTGTCAATAAAAGTAATAAATCACCAGTGCTTTTTGCTTAACTAATTTAAGATTCAGCTGTCTAGAGATAAAAGAACCACTGCTTGCAAAACTCAAATTTAGACTGCTGACTGCCTTATAAACCATGCCTACTCTCACTGTGAAATATATTGGCCAGTCCTGCTGTACCTGCTAACTATTTGATATAATAAATCTTCAGGTTTCAGTCCGAAAAGGAGACAGGAGACCGAAACTATGCTATTGGATATTATCTCAAAGAAAAAAAGGTAGATATTTTTATTCTGGTTCTCCTTGCCTTGTCAGTACAGAATTAGACAAGTGAAACAAATGAAGATCACAGTGAAATGCATTCCTTAGTTTTGTCATTATTTAGGGCACTCATTAAACATTCACAATGTACTAATGGTTACTAACTTTCTGTGAATACAGATTATGTGTTGTTGGATGGGTTTTGCATTGTTTGCACCTAATGTGATAATCTGAATTTGCCATGTAATAGCCACATTTATAAAGATTTTGATCCCAAATATTTAAAATGATCTTTAATATAAAGTGGAACTTTACCTGGAAAAGGGAAGTGCAGAAGCAGAGCAGAAGTTCGACCCCCCCTCCACCCGCAACCTCCTTTGACCGCCTGGCAGGCTGCTGGACCATTCAGAAAGTGCAGCACGTCTCATGCATGCATATTGGGGAGCTGGATGTGAGCCAGTAGGAGGTCACACTGGTTTCCCACAGTCAACATGGCGGTACCGGCGACCCAAAGCCCCGTGAAGAACTGGCCCGGGTGAAGATAACACTCGATCTTTTAAGTAAAAGTCAGCAGCAGTGCTTGCAGTGGCGCAATCCTGTGACCACTATGGCTGCTGAACACAGCGGAACACAGTGCTCAGTACAGCGGCCAGGATATTATCTGATAGCTAGGACCAATTATCAGCGATCGCATGATAACATGTAAGCAAAACTGTCACAAATGGCTTTAATTCATGACAGCTTGCTTACTGTCGTGATGCTGTGATTGGCTCACAACTATCACATGGTACTTGGGTCAGTCACAGCACACTGTAATGTGATTAGCTGTAGCCAATCACAGCATCACAATAGTTTTCTAAAACATTGTGACAACAAAAAAATTACAACTTCAAAGAAATCTAGCCATGACTCTTACTGAATACCTTGGGCTGTCTATCTTCCAAAAAGGGGTCATTTGGGAGATATTTGTACTGTCCTGGCATTTTAGGGCCTCAAAAATGAGATAGGCCCTCAGTACATCAGGACTGATTCAAATAAATATACCATAGCTTGTAGACTCTGTAACGTTCACGTAGCAGACTGCATTTTGACCTAAATTTATGAAGAAAGATTATTTGTTTGCAACATTTTATTAACAGAAACTAATAAAAATGTGTTTTTTTTTTCAACATGCTTGGTATTTCTTCATTTATATAGCAAAAACTTGAAAACCCAGGCATTCAGCAGCTGCAGGATTAAAATCGAGAGATTCCTCTATATGTAGCCACCCCCCTGGGTACAGAGCATCGTGGTCCACGGTGTCCCAAGGTGCATGCCAGTGTGCATGTGCTGGGTGACATAGCAGTATGACTCCTAGTATGTAGCTGTTGCCTGCTTGCAGTAACTGTACTGTGGCTGTTAGCAAGTGGTTTGTAAATGTAAACATTAAAAAAAAAAAAAAGTTTATACTTATCTGCAGCCCTGAACCTTCTTTTCTCAGGCCCCTGCCAGTCCTTCTGGCTCTTCCTCCTCTCTGATGAGCGCCCCCGTAGGAGATTGCTTCCTATGGAGGCATGCATGCGGGTTCGCTCCTGAGGTCCACTGCCTGTGTCTATAAACATAGGCAGCAGGGCTTAGCTCCACCCCTCCGCTCCCTTGTCACTGGCTTTGATTAACAGCAGGGGGCTGGATCGAATGAGGGCTCGGGTGAGGGGAAATACTATTACAAAAACATATTTTACCTTAATGCAAGGAATGCATTAAGGTAAAAAAGTTTAGGCTTTATAAGCACTGTAAAAGAGAAGTATAGGCAAAGCTTTTTTTGACAAACATCTCTTGAGGATCACAGGAGTACATTTACTTTCATTCTTCTGTGGCCCATAGTCAGCTTATAGTGGGCTACAGCCTGCTAGCAGCCGAAGGGCAGAGCTGTGCCAAGCTTGGGCAGGATCCCAACAATGTGGGGATTCATCCTGCTGCCTGATTGACAGCTGGCTTTGCCTATCAGCACACAGCTAACAGCCAGAGGTACCTGTACCCTCTCCAGCCCAGTGCTCAAGTGCGCTGGAGGAGCAGAACGGAGAGCCATGACTCACAATCACTGCTCTCTGCTCGAAGCTGACCAAAAACTCAGCAATCAGAGGTCATGATTACCCAGTTCCCAGTCCAAGAGCTGATGTAGGACACACAGATGCTGCAGCATGGACGTGCCTGTACTTTTCCGTTAATTATGTATTGATTAATCTAGAAGAAAACAAAAAGGATTTCATATTACCATCCCCAGCTATCCATTAACATGTGCTATAAAATTATTTTATGACTTGATGATAAGTTTGTTTAGAATGGTATGTACCGAAAACCAGATAACATGTTCTTGTTTATGGTTATGACTATTCACATATTACAGTTATTCATTTTTAGGCTAATGTTTAGACTAATGTTTGTGTATATATTAATATACAATATTTTGCTATCTCTTTTTTTTTAGTGTTTTCCATCCAGTGCTGACATGGGGGTCGCTCTGGATTTGTACTTTCAGGTCAGTTTTCCTGTATGTGCTGATTACACTTTTAACATGCGACTAAAGACCTCGTTCATTATGGGTTTACATTATGTAGCACAGACAGATGTGTTCAACAAGAAGACTTAGTTTAAAACTATAGTATGTAGAGTAATTATAAAGTGTTATAAGCCACAGCAACCAATGAGATCATATAGTATAGTTTTTGAGTGAAATAAAAAAACAAGATTTTGAGTCATTAAGTTGTTAAATAAAGTCAAGATTTAATGGGAGTGAATTTATTAGTCTAATAGCTGGCTTAAAGTATAACTAAAGACACATTATTTATTTTATTTAATTTGTTTATTTATAGCTTTGGAAGTTTTGGTTTTGCTATCTCTGCCCCTGTTATGGAGATTCACCCTGTCTATTTATCCTGTTTACCATTATCATAAAAGTAAAGGTAAAGGAAAATCTTCAAATAGGGACACTAGTTCTGGTGACCTGGGGGGCCCAAGAGATTCCCTTTATTTGCAGGAATTTCCCCTCACCTCCTATTTTGGCTATGGGACAGGATGTGAAAGGAGATCACCTGAGTGGGACACAGATGGCAAAAAAAAAACAAACTGACAGGGGTATCCAAAATAAAAAATAAATAAGCTTTGCTATAGTTCTACTTTAAGTTGTCTAAATTGTGCAGATTTCACCAGCAAGGGAAAAACTAGCCCTGATTTAAAAAGTTACCTAGCCTACACATGTGATGACAGAAGGTCAGTTAAAAAAATTGGTATAAAGCTTACTTAATGTCTTTTTTTATTAGTTTTAAATAGAGCATAGCAAGGGTTAGAACGGCTGTCAGGTTTTTATTTTTGTCTGCGTCCTTGCTGACGAGATTTACATTCTTAATTTGTCTTGGTGACTACTGTTATCAGGACTAATGTGAGGGAAGATTTAAATGTTTGAATTGTCACTTGAAAAGGAATAGAGGTAAAATCTTCCATTGCGGACATGGTCTAAAAAGAGTATTTCCTTTACTTTGAAAAGATCTGCTCTCGCTTCCTCTCAGAGCATATTAAAATTAAATATAATGTATATACAAGAGTTTTGACCATTCTTACACTATCCAGAAAAAAAACATTTTGGCTTTAGACATAACCACTTAAGGTCCACCCTATAGGGTGGTCTTCCTCTGCAAAATCATGTATATATACGTGATTTTGCACTTCTGCCATGGGGGGTGGAGCGATGACTTCTGCTCTGCTGTGAACACTCACACAGCAGAAGCCAATCTGCGAGTGTCCGCCGGCACCCGACGATTGTCAGACAGGATACAGAACAGAGCTCTGCCTATGTAAAACATGCAGAGCTCTGTTCTGATGAGGGGGGGGGGAGGAGTGAAGGATCATGTGTCCCTGTAAGCTGAGAACACGATCCTTCACTTCCCCTAGTTAAAAGCACCACCTAGTGTACACTTGTCCGCTTTATATAGTTATTAATCCACTGTATTTCTCATCATTATTTCTCTTCTAATGAAAAGTTATTTTATTTTCATCTCAAATGGCTTAATTTACTGTTTCCCGCCATGGATATCTTATTGACTCTTAAAACCACACGCTACTAATATTGCAGAAGGCGAATCTCTGTATGTGATACACTTTGTGAATGAACTATAGTCACAGAATGCTGCATAATTTGATAACATAATGTATATGGGGTCAATTAAGCTGATCCTAAAGTAAAAGTGAAGTTGAGAGTTGAGATTAAACTGAACAAATTACACACAGGGATGACAAGACCACAAGTGGTATGCTTTTAAAAGGCCTGAACCTCATTTCTGCTGCTCTAATTACATTCATTACTAAACCTGTAGTGGGAGGTATAGGTGGCCTGCTATAGCGGAGCTACTTTTAAAGTGTTACTAAACCCCAGGCCCTGTATTCACTATATCTGGTCTCTCATAGTACTCAGAACATGGAAATGCAATTATTTTAGTAAATATAAACTGCTAAATACCTTTTCTCATCAGCAGTTAGAGCAATCTTGTGACTTCTATCAGTGTCCAGCCGAGCACTGGTTAAAGCTTGTAGGAGGAGTTTTCATTCTGCTCTAGGAGGTTTCAGAACCCCTGACCTCTGTCTGGACAGTGCTGATTGGCCCTGTGCTGATCACCTGCACTCTCCCAAGAAAACAAAAACCTCTCTAGCAATACATACCAAACTGAGCATGTGCACAGTGACACCGGAAGAAGTAGGGGACACTGGGAGAAGGGGAGGATCAAAGAAGACATGATCATTCAGCGTTTTTACACAATGAAGAGGATTAACCCCTTAGGTTCCACAGTGAGTATAACAAGCATGCTTTACTGCATGTACATGTTATAATGTACAGCGCTGAGCAAACTGTTGGCGCTATATAAATCCTGTATAATAATAATAATGTACAGACTGATTTTACTGTTGTGGGTTTAGTAACACTTTAAGAATACTAATTGCCTGGCTGTCTCTGGATTCAGTGCATTCTGTGGCACTGACCTGGAACAAGCATGAAGATGATCCATTTTTTGCATACTCGTTCCTTTTCTGCAACTGCCATTTTAGAAGGAGAGGTCAGCAATGAAAGCCACAGTAGTCTATCGATATAGGATTTCTTTAGGAAGGTTTTTGCCTCTGTGTAGAATAATGTGTTGTCTTCAACTGCTATTCTTATCTTGTGTTTTTTCATCATGCCTATATCTTTTCTGTCTAGCTTTGCTCCATTGAGGTGACCTGCGATTCAGGGAGTGTGATTGCTGCCACTTTGGCTAATGGTGGTATCTGCCCCATCACAGGAGAGCGGGTCCTAAGTGCAGAAGCAGTGAGAAACACACTGAGTCTTATGCATTCGTGTGGCATGTATGACCTATCTGGACAGTTTGCCTTTCATGTGAGTTTGCTTTTATGTATACACATTTTGTTATCATTTGAAGTGATTGTAAACTCATATTTTTTTTTTAAATTTTAAAACAACAAGCATGTCATACTTAACTGCTCTTTGCAAAGGTTTTGTACAGAGCAGCCCCAATCCTCCTCTTCTTGGGTCTCTCGCCAGCAATCCTGGCCCCCAAGCCACTTGCTATGGGAGTACTTCTGTGGGTCCACAGCCACACAGAGCGGGGCTTGGACCTGCCCCCAATCTATCCTCACCGGCTGTGATTGACAGAAGCAGGAGCTAATGGCTCCCACTGCTGTCTATGAGCTTGTGAGGAGGGAGAGAACCGCTGCTCTCGGATACAGCACTGGATTGAGATTGGGCTCAGGTAAGTATAAGGAAAAGCTGGTTTGGACTGCTGAGAATGCATTAAAGTAAAATGTCTTCAGACTTTAATTTGCACTACTTTTCTTACAAAGGACAAACAGCTCATTTTGATCTGACATCCTCATATACTTTGTGTCATCAGTGAACTCTTCTCTAGTTCAGCTAGCATAGTTTATTCTCTAGAGCCCCCATAAAATATCTGGTCGTCAAACTATAATATTTGATAGACAGTTTATACATTGTATTCATATTCAAACCGGAAGTCCAAAACATCCATTTTGTTATTGTGAATTCTACAGTCCTGGCAATCAGAAGAGTACATTGTTCACATATATTTACATCTGGCGCCATCTTGTGGTCAGATTGGAAAATGCTATTCAGTGCCCTGACTCGAGTTGCAGTGGCCATAAATTTGCTTTAAAGTGTCCAATTCTATACCTTGTGCATTTTTCTATTGGTTGAACTTGATTGACTTCACTGGTGGTGAATTAGTAACTGTATATGATTACACATTCAATAGTAAACTTCACCTGCAAGCAGTAATTAGTGAAAGTCACATTCATTGTTGTAAAAATATGCCTCATATGCTCCAGCCATGACAACCTCCTCTGAGAATGGAGAGTGCCTTTCCTCTTCATGGAGAACCTGTTAGAACAGAAATATGAGAGCAGTCATTGCTGACTTGTTTGTGAAAGTGCAGGCTCCCAGGGTGTCATCTCCACCATCACTCCACTGCTAAGGAAGTCACTGCATATCATGTGGCCTGATATCTAATAAAAATATTGCCAGGTCAATGACTCGCTATATAGTAAAATAGGGATAAAGCTGACAGAATTTGTCTTAAAAAATATCATCAATGGCAGCTCTCAAATGTAAGTACCTTGCGTATACAGTATATGGTTTTATTAAAACAATTATATTTTAAAACAATCTCCAAGACTGCCAAGATGGGAACCTGCTAACAGTCTGCATCCCAATATCCCAAGTTCTCTTCCCCATCTCTCCTACACCCCCCTCTTTTTTTCTTCTTCTTCCTCCCTTTCCCTCTCTTCTCCCCTTTTATTTCTGTTCTCTCTCTCTCTTTTTTCTTTCTCCATACTTTCCATTGCTCAGGTTTGATAATTCTTGTAGTGCAAGTGTCACATGTTCCCCAGCCTTCCTAGTTGAGACTACATTGACCCATTGGATCGCTTGTTGAGTCACGCTCCTCCCTGGAGATGTATGCTATCTGGTCCCATACTGCCTAGTAAGCCCTACTATTATTTTTTACTTATTGACTGCTGGGGATGGAGACAACTATTAAGGTGCCCACAATGACATATATTATAACCTTTATTAGTTTGTCCACCTATGGACACTGTTTTTGACTCCAGTGATTGGTGCTTTACATATGCTGTTGGCAGTAATCTTAACTTTTGAATGACTGTATTTCTTGTTACGCGTATGTTTATTATCTGTAAAGCTATAAACAAATATAACTTTTATGGAGAAAAAATTATAGAAAGTGAACCAACATATATTGCAGGGATTATCTTTCTTATACTATTAGAACACCATACTAAGCCACTTTCTGATTTCCAAATAGATATAACATCTCTTAAAATATAGATTTGATATGCATTGGATTTAGACTTCAATATAATAAACATCTCTATTGCCAGTCTATTTAAAATGTGCTTATTATTGAATTTTTAGGTTGGATTACCTGCCAAATCTGGTGTGTCAGGAGCCATATTGTTGGTGGTGCCCAACATAATGGGTGTTTTCTGTTGGTCACCTCCTCTGGACAAAATTGGAAACAGTGTACGAGGAATTCACTTCTGCCAAGTAAGGCCTGTTCATTGTAGCGCTATCAATATTGAGGAATTATATCTAAGCAGGGAGAATACAACATAGAATAAAAACAAGAGGATATATGTTTATTCAGTATCAGAGTGCCTACAGTGCTGCTATGTACTAGCTCAAGCTACTGGTTGAAAGGGTTTACTGTAAGCCTTTATACTTCACACAATGCAGTTAAATACCCTTGAATGATAGAAGGTCCTTCAAGGTCAGTATAGTGTAACCACATCATTTGTTTCCTCTTTAACTGTATTGTAATAACACAAAAAAATGGGTAAATAAATATTCACTTAGGAGAAAAAGTATCTTAACCACTTGCCTACTGGGCACTTTTACCCTTCTTCCAAGGCCAATTTTCAGCTTTCAGTGCTGTCACACTTTGAATGACAATTGCGCGGGTCATGCAACACTGTACCCATATAAAATTTTTATCATTTTTTTTCACACAAATGGAGCTTTTTTTGGTGGTATTTATTCACGACTGGATTTTTTATTTTTTGCACTGTAAATGAAAAAAAGAGCAAAAATTAAAAAAATAAATTGTGTTTCTATTATAAAATTTTGCCAACAGGTAATTTTTCTCCTTCACTGATGTGCGTTGATGAGGCTGCACTAATAGGCGGCACTGACAGGGCACAGATTGGCAGCACTGTTGTGCACTTTTAGGACTGCCCTGATTATCAGTGTAGATTAATTCTTTCACAGTTTCCGGTTATCAGCAGTATTTTCCTTGCGCTGTGACAGTGTGAGGAAAGTACTGCCGATAACCGGGAAGTGTATTTACATGGTGATCAGCTGTGACTGGACACAGCTGATCATGTGGTAAAAAGCCACTGTGATTGGCCCTTTACAGTGTCATGTGATCAGCTGAGTCCAAAGGGGGCATGCGGAGGGGTGTGTTCTGGAAGGACGTTATATGACGCCCTCTCAGAACTGGACAACTGTGCTGTAGCCGTCATTCAGCTATAACGTGGTCAAGAAGTGGTTAAACCAATCAAAATCACTGTTTAGTTTCCGAACCTGTACAGTAGAAATGACTGTTGAAAGCTGACTGTCATCTTTAAGCCTCAGCAAAACAAATTTTTTTTTTCTCTCTTCCCATGGAGGGGAGAAAAATGAAAACCCGTAAGTGAACAAAAAAATATGCTAGTGCAAAACACAAACAGAAAAAAGTGCAGTTAGGGGTGTGCTTTAGTCCAGCCCCCAAAGGTGTAGGACCTCTACCCTGATCCCCCAGGGCACAAGGCTCCTGATAGGGACAAAGGTTCCCACATGGTCCACCTAGCCAAAAGGCCTGGCGGACCCCTTACCTTGTGGCTAGCCAAAGCCGACTACCAAGTACTAGGTCAGGGAGCTCTCCCAAAGAGAGATCCCCAGGAACAGGGCAGGAAAGAACCTAATGGCCACACATCCTCCCCCTAGACTTCAGGGCAGGCCCGAGGACCCACACCCTCCATCCTAGTGAGAAAAAAAACACACACAAAATTGAAAGGTGACAAAACAGTGGGTAGAAAAATAAATAAATAAGTGGCCGTGCAATTGTGCACTGGCTAGGCCCTTAGGCCAATAGCAAAAAAATTGCCCTGGACTTAACCAAAAGACCTAGCCCTAAAAGGCGCAGTGCAGAAAAAGTGTTTAGAACAGTGACCATGTGCAGTTTTCACACTTGGGATTCCACCCCCATGTGCTACTCAGAGCACCCCTGAGGTGACCACTCTCAGGAGACACTGCTCCGTGGACTCTCTGCCTTCCCGGCCCCTGGCCAGACAAGATAGATCCATTCAAATCAGGAGGAACTGGGCCCCTCCAGTTTTCCCAGGGGTATTACTCCCGGGTGTGAAGAGCCTGTGGGCACCTTGGTTTCTCTTCCAGCCAGTACTAACCTTCAAAGCCCCTTTCATACCAGCAGGGGTACTATACAGCCAGCCATCCTCGCCTAAAAGCAAGAATGATGGCGGAACACCCCTACTGGACACTGCTAAGAACAGATACTACACTTGGTCTTAGCCAAAAGGCTGAGAAGCAAGAAATTTTTCTATAGCACACTTTGCTAAATCAGACCCTTAAAAAAAAGAAAATGGCAGCTTGTATGGCTCCTGTGAGACTGCAACTTTGAGAGTGCAATGCCTATTAATTGTCTATTTTAAATCTACGCCACTTTTTTTCACCAAATCTCGTTCAATGTGAAAATAAGAAATTTATTTTGTAGTTCATTTTTACCAATGTATACAATTTATAAAGCAAAAAAAAAATCACTTTGTTATTAGTAAATTTGCTATACTATTCTTGCACAGTTCAATATCTACAGCAAATATAAATAAATCCTATTATTAGGCATCGATATTCAACAAACATGATAAAAAGGGAAAGCAAATAAAGGGAGACTTTAAAAGCAACCACATAATACTGACTTAAGAATGAAAAAGTTTATTACATAACTGTATTAAAACATCATACTTAAAAATACAAAAAAGAATTGCTCCATACAAAAGAATCCATACAACCATCATGAGACATATGAGTACAATGGTACATATGACAACCCTGACATGTTTCAATTCCCGATATGATCTTCATCAGGGTGTCATGTCAGGGTGGTTACCTTGGACCAACACTATATAGTACAGACAATTCACCAGGGGGTTAATGTACAACCCCATATAAACAGGATTCAGGCTGTTGGAGCACAAAGGATAGCAATGACTCTTCCACTGAAGGGGCTCTTTATATGGAGAAAAGACGACTTGTGATTATATGTCCAATTAGATTGGACCACAAACCAATAAACGATAGAAGAGTCAAGGCAGTAGATAATTTTCAAAAAGTAGATGGATTGAAAAGAAGATAGTAAAACTCCCCACCAACCACTAAACCAAGTTAATGAGTCACAGTCCTGCAGCTAACAGATCCAAAAGGCCAGCCATGCTGGTGACATAAAATCGAACAACAAAATAGTGAGAAATTCTGTGCTAATTAGTATGCAAAACTGTTTATGTATAAGTCAGTCGCATACAAAAATCCAATCCTAATTCCAAAAAATAAACTCCACAAAGGAGTCTTCAGTGTCACCTACAATGGTGCCACCTCCCCCTCCCTCCCCCTCTCTGTTGGGGTCCCCCAAGGCTCTGTCCTTGGACCCCTTCTCTTCTCCATCTACACCTCCTCCCTGGGCAAACTCATACAATCTCACGGCTTCAACTATCACCTCTATGCTGACGACACCCAAATCTACCTCTCCACCCCTCACCTCACCCCCACTATCTCCGCCCGCATCACTCACCTCTTAAATGACATCTCAGACTGGATGTCGCTACACTTCCTCAAGCTCAACCTCTCCAAAACCGAGCTTCTCGTCTTTCCCCCTGCCAACACCCCCCCCCCCATCCTATCCATCATCACCAACAACTCCACTATCACTTCCGCCCCGCAAGCCAAAGTCCTTGGCGTCATTCTTGACGCGAACCTCTCCCTCCAACCGCATGTCAAATCACTCACAAATACATGCAGGCTCCATCTTCGCAACATTGCCAAGATACGCTCCTTCCTCACCCCAGACACCACCAAACTTCTAGTACACTCCCTCATCATCTCACGCCTTGACTACTGCAACTCCCTCCTCACTGGCCTACCCAAGTGCAGGCTCTCCCCGCTCCAGACCATCCTGAACTCAGCTGCCAGACTCATCCACCTCACCACCCGCTCCACCTCTGCCACCCCCCCTCTGCCTCTCCCTCCACTGGCTCCCGATTGCCCAACGCATCAAATTTAAACTCCTAACCCTGACCTACAAAGCCGTTCACAACACTGCCCCTGACTACCTCACCAACCTTATCACCAAGTACCACCCTACCCGTACCCTTCGCTCCTCACAGGACCTCCTTCTATCCTGCTCCCTGGTCTCCTCCTCCCATGCACGACTGCAGGACTTCTCCAGGTCCTCCCCCATCCTCTGGAACTCACTGCCCCAATCCATCAGACTGTCGCCTTCCCTATTCACATTCAGGCGCTCCCTCAAAACCCATCTCTTCAGGGAAGCCTACCCCACCCTCACCTAACAGCCATCCTCCCTCATTCCTCCCACCACTTCATCCCCCTCAGCCACTTCCTACTGTACCTTTACCCCCTCCCTCCTAGATTGTAAGCTCGTAAGAGTAGGGCCCTCTTACCCCTCGTACATTGTTTGTTGTTGTTGTACTGTGCCATGTATTGTCCCCCCTATTGTACAGCGCTGAGCAAACCCTTTGGCGCTATATAAACTCGTAGTAATAATAATAATAAATAATAATAAAGGCTCTTCAATCATGTGAACAGAAAAAGGTCCCAAAGCAATCGGACAAAGCAGCTTCATCTATGTACGCTTTCCTGCTAGACTGCCAACTAAATAAATTAATAGATATAAAATACTGTATCAAAGTAGAATGTATAACCTAAAAAAAAGAGAATAATAAAATTGACCAAAACATTATAGTAGGAGTCAAGGCAGTAGATAATTTTCAAAAAGTAGATGGATTGAAAAGAAGATGGTAAAACTCCCCACCAACCACTAAACCAAGTTAATGAGTCACAGTCCCGCAGCCAACAGATCCAAAAGGCCAGCCATGCTGGTGACATCAAATCAAACAACATATAATCCCTAACAAAATAGTGAGAAATTCTGTGCTAAGTAATATGCAAAACTATTTATGTATAAATCAGTCACATACAAAAATCCAATCTTGATTGCAAAAATAAACTCCACAAAGTCTATTCAATCATGTGAACAGAAAAAGGTCCGAAAGCAATTGGACAAAGCAGCTTCATCTACAGTCAGGTCCATAAATATTGGGACATCGACACAATTCTAACATTTTTGGCTCTATACACCACCACAATGGATTTGAAATGAAACGAACAAGATGTGCTTTAATTGCAAACTGTCAGCTTTAATTTGAGGGTATTTACATCCAAATCAGGTGAACGGTGTAGGAATTACAACAGTTTGCATATGTGCCTCCCACTTGTTAAGGGACCAAAAGTAATGGGACAATTGACTTCTCAGCTGTTCCATGGCCAGGTGTGTGTTATTCCCTCATTATCCCAATTACAATGAGCAGATAAAAGGTCCAGAGTTCATTTCAAGTGTGCTATTTGCATTTGGAATCTGTTGCTGTCAACTCTCAAGATGAGATCCAAAGAGCTGTCACTATCAGTGAAGCAAGCCATCATTAGGCTGAAAAAACAAAACAAACCCATCAGAGAGATAGCAAAAACATTAGGCGTGGCCAAAACAACTGTTTGGAACATTCTTAAAAAGAAGGAATGCACCGGTGAGCTCAGCAACACCAAAAGACCCGGAAAACCACGGAAAACAACTGTGGCGGATGACCGAAGAATTCTTTCCCTGGTGAAGAAAACACCCTTCACAACAGTTGGCCAGATCAAGAACACTCTCCAGGAGGTAGGTGTATGTGTGTCAAAGTCAACAATCAAGAGAAGACTTCACCAGAGTGAATACAGAGGGTTCACCACAAGATGTAAACCATTGGTGAGCCTCAAAAACAGGAAGGCCAGATTAGAGTTTGCCAAACGACATCTAAAAAAGCCTTCACAGTTCTGGAACAACATCCTGTGGACAGATGAGACCAAGATCAACTTGTACCAGAGTGATGGGAAGAGAAGAGTATGGAGAAGGAAAGGAACTGCTCATGATCCTAAGCATACCACCTCATCAGTGAAGCATGGTGGTGGTAGTGTCATGGCGTGGGGCATGTATGGCTGCCAATGGAACTGGTTCTCTTGTATTTATTGATGATGTGACTGCTGACAAAAGCAGCAGGATGAATTCTGAAGTGTTTCGGGCAATATTATCTGCTCATATTCAGCCAAATGCTTCAGAACTCATTGGACGCCACTTCACAGTGCAGATGGACAATGACCCAAAGCATACTGCAAAAGCAACCAAAGAGTTTTTTAAGGGAAAGAAGTGAAATGTTATGCAATGGCCAAGTCAATCACCTGACCTGAATCCGATTGAGCATGCATTTCACTTGCTGAAGACAAAACTGAAGGGAAAATGCCCCAAGAACAAGCAGGAACTGAAGACAGTTGCAGTAGAGGCCTGGCAGAGCATCACCAGGGATGAAACCCAGCGTCTGGTGATGTCTATGCGTTCCAGACTTCAGGCTGTAATTGACTGCAAAAGATTTGCAACCAAGTATTAAAAAGTGAAAGTTTGATTTACGATTATTATTCTGTCCCATTACTTTTGGTCCCTTAACAAGTGGGAGGCACATATGCAAACTGTTGTAATTCCTAAACCGTTTACCTGATTTGGATGTAAATACCCTCAAATTAAAGCTGACAGTCTGCAGTTAAAACACATCTTGTTCCTTTCATTTCAAATCCATTGTGGTGGTGTATAGAGCCAAAAATGTTAGAATTGTGTTGATGTCCCAATATTTATGGACCTGACTGTATGTACGCTTTCCTCCTAGATGGTAAACTGAATAAATTAATAGATATACTGTATCAAATTAAAATGTATACCTAAAAAAAGAGAATAATAAAACTGACCGAAACATTATAGTTTTCCATTAAGACCTCATGTACACAGGACATTTTGCCAACTCTGCTAGAAGCCTTTCCACCTGGTAGCAGTATTTTGGCAGAAACAGTAAAAGTGTGTAACGAGTTTACACGTTTAGGAGCATCAAGTCCTTGGGCGTTAATTCAGTCTGCCCCTGAATAATAACTAATTCTGCCAACTGAAATTAATTAACACTGAAGTGCTAAATGTACCTAGCGCTTAGGTGCATTTAGTGGCATTTGGCGCATTTACAGGCATCAATCATTTTTTTGCCAAAACGACGCTGCTCCTTGACGCACTGGCAGCAAGGTTTTTTTCTGCTTCTAAACTCTTCTAAAAGCCTATGCATGCATGGACATATAGGCTAACATGCAGGGGCGATTAGAGGCAGAAAAAAATGACACACGCCTCGAGGAGGAGCTGAAAAAATGTCCAGTGTGCATGAAAGTGGAAGAAAAGCCTAAGCCTAAATGTTCTTAAAAATGTTCCCTCCCCCTTCCTCCTACCTTTCCTGCGTAACCAAGCTGCTGGAAGCTTGTTGAAAGCTTTGAATATGCTCGCAACCAGGGGCAGACTGACCATTCGAGCACTCGGGCACTGCCCGAGGGCCTGGGGTCAGTAGGGGGACCTTTTTTATAGGCTTTTTTGAGTGTGGGCAAGGACACAGGGGCCCTATGATCCCCTATTGCCCGGGGGCCGCATGAGTTGTCAGTCCGCCCCTGCTTGCAACACACTTTGCTTTTTAGTACAGCATCTCCAAGCTGAAGTCCATAGTGCAAACCTGGTCTAAGTGCTACTTTTAGGTAACAGTAATGCTGGAAGTGTTCTTTACTGGGATCTCTGCCAATCATATACAATATACATGTTTGCTTTACTCTAGGAACTGGTTTCTGTCTTCAATTTTCACAATTATGACAACTTAAGGCACTGTGCAAGAAAACTTGATCCCCGCAAGGAGAGAAGTGAAGTGCAGGTATTATAATACTTATGTGTTTGACATATTTATTTCATAAGTATAGCTAGAGGGAGCTCTGTGTGCCCAGGGGTTACATCCGACCGTGTATTGAAATATTTGGATGAATACTATAGACAGTAATGTGCATGATATTGTATAAAATGTAAGGCAGAAAGCTTGCAGTGCTAAAATATACCAATATATTTTTCTATCCTCTTTGTATGTCCAATGTAGAAATAAAAAAAAACAAGCAAACTTTAGTACACAGATTTGAATGTAGGCAGAACTTTATTTATTTTTAATTTTGGATCCTGTATTTGTTTTGATGACCATTGGCAGTGGCGACACCTGTTCTGGGGGCAACTGTCTAAGAGAGGAATTCACCCCACTTTTGGAGTTTTCATCTACTTCCTGTCCCAGAGATGCAACAGGAAGTTAAATAGCACACAGTAGCACCACTGGCCCAGCTTGTTTCTTGACTGGCCTTTCCATAAACAAGAAATGTCTGTGTACTGCAGAGAGGCAGGGCGTATGGAAGAATAATGTACCTGTGCCAGCTAACTAGGGGGAACATAAGTAACAAGTTTGGTTGATACGGGGAACATCCTTTTGTTTGTTTTTTTATGCAGATAATCAAAGACAATATTAATCATAAATTCTTCTGTCTGTAGCACAAAACAGTGGTGAACCTTCTTTTTGCTGCCTATAGTGGTGATGTCTCCGCTATGAGGAGGTGAGACTAAAAATTTATGAACAATAACATGTCTAAACTAAAAAATATACCAAGACACGATGCCATTGACATGGAGGACAGAATTTCATTTTAACAAAATCTTCCCATAAGATTTAGAATTTAACATATTTTATGTATGATATTTATCAGTAAAAGCCTCCCTTGTGTAGACATCCTAAAGCCCTGAGACTGCTGCTGAAAAACATCTTGGATGTGATGTCAACAGCCCCAGCAGACAAAGCGGTGTCATTCAAGTGTAATATTCCCCTTCAATCCTTCCCAGTTTCCCAGTTTTTCTCGGTACTGCTGCAGATTGCTAAAAATACATCTTTACAACATTTTGTATACTATATTACTTGCACTGCCGCCCTAGTGTAATCTAATATTTTGTACACTACCATTGCAGCATTATATTATATATAAAATTGTGCCTGAGTCCAAATATATATGGACCTAACTATGTGTGTGTGTGTGTATATATATATATATATATATATACACACACACACACACATACATACATACATACATACACATACATTGCCTTGAAAAGGTATCATCCCCCTTGAAATTTTACAACCAAAAACGTAAATGTATTTTATTGGGATTTTATGTAATAGACCAACACAAAGTGGCACATAATTGTGAAGTGGAAGGAAAATGATAAATGGTTTTAAAAATCTTTTGGAACCAATTGCCTTCAGAAGTCGCCTAATTAGTAAATATAGTCCACCTGTGTGTAATTTAATCTCAGTATAAATACAGCTGTTCTGCGAATCCCTCTGAGATTTGTTAGAGAACATTAGTGAACAAATAGCATCATGAAGGCCAAGGAACACACCAGACAGGTGAGGAATAAAGTTGTGGAGAAGTTTACAGCAGAGTTAGGTTTAAAAAAAATATCCCAAGCTTTGAACATCTCACAGAGCACTATTCAATCCATCACCTGGAAATGGAAAGAGTACGGCCAACTGCAAACCTACCAAGACATGGCCGTCCACCTAAACTGACAGGCTGGGCAAGGAGAGCATTAATCAGAAAAGCAGCCAAGAGGTATATGGTAACTCTGGAGGAGCTGCAGAGATCCACAGCTCAGGTGGGAGAATCTTTCCACAGGACAACTATTAATCCTGCTCTCCACAAATCTGGAAGATTATGAAAGAGTAGCAAGAAGAAAGCCATTGTTAAAAGAAAGCCATAGGAAGTCTCATTTGCAGTTTGCGAGAAGCCATGTGGGTGACACAGCAAACATGTGGAAGAAGGTGCTCTGGTCAGATGAGACCAAATTTGAACTTTTTAGCCTAAAAGCAAAACAATATGGGCTCTTTCACATGAATGTTCTGATCAGCTCCATCTGCCGGAACCTCCATTCTCCTCTATGGAGCGGCAGGTGTAAACAGACATGTGTCCGTTTATAGCTGCCGAGATCTGATCCAATCTGCCAAAAAGGGACAGATGGGGATCCAATTTTTCATCCTTTTTCATCCGACCACCGAGGAGCGTGAGCAGCTCTGTGTCTGCTCTGCAGCAGCGGAGGGAACACAGAGCTGTCAATCCGCTTGCTCAGCGGGAATCAGTGGAGAGAGCAAGCGGATATGCTAAACGGGTCCGTCCCCTCTGAAAGACCCCTATGTGTGGCGGAAAATTAACACTGCACATCACTCTGAACAGACCAACCCCACCGTGAAACATGGTGGTGGCAGCATCATGTTGTGGAGATGCTTTTCTTCAGCAGGGACAGGGAAGCTGGTCACAGTTAATGGGAAGATGGATGGAGCTAAATACAAGGCAATCTTAGAATAAAACCTGTTAGAATCTGCAAAAGGCTTGAGACTGGGGCGGAGGTTCACCTTCCAGCAGGACAACGACCCTAAACATGTAAGACTTGTAAATTGCTGTTCACTCTATATCCAATCTGACAGACCGTTAGCTATTTTGCAAAGAAGAATGGGCAAAATTGTCACTTTCTAGATGTGCAAAGGTGGTAGAGACATATCCAAAAAGACTTGCAGCTGTAATTGCAGCGAAAGGTGGTTCTATAAAGTATTGACTCAGGGGGGCTGAATACAAAAGCACACCACACTTTCCAGATATTCATTTGTGAAAAAAATTTTGAAAACCATTTCTCATTTTCCTTCCACTTCACAATTATGTGCCACCTTGTGTTGGTCTATCACATAAAATCCCAATAAAATATATTTACATTTTTGGTTGTAACTGTAAGGGACCCCAGACACCCACAACTGGGTATCTCTGTCAAGAAGCTGCTTCTCAGGCTCTGGAAAACAAGACCAGTGAATCTGGCTATTGTTACCCCAAGATCCAGACGACACCAGATTTGAAGTAAACCAGAGTAGACTACTTTATTTGAACACAGATACAAGATATTTACACTCAGGGGACAATCCCCCTCCTTGCATAATGACACAGGGCGGGGCAATCTACATTTAGTAACAAGGGACACACAGGTATTCAAACTTCACACCAGCAGACAGTCCCATCAGGAGGGAGACCTGCTGGAGACCCCCCCTCCCCCCCCACTAAGCTAATACACATAAAACACATACATCCCATAATAGTTTGCTCCTAAGCCAGACAAACAATAGAACAATGGGATACAGCCACATAACATTAAAAAGTCAACAACCCCCACCCCACCTATCTCCTAAACATGTCTACACAGTCTGAGACAAAGCCCACACAATATTCGGACATATCACCCTGTACCTCTAACAGGCACAGGGTGATTTACACATAAAAGGGATATGTATATATAGTGTATTATCTATATGATAAATTAACACAATGCTTATTATTTTAACAGCTAGGATGTAGAAAAATTGGGATGGATAAAGGGAACCCTTTGCTTTAGATTAAATATGTAGGTGCAAAGGAAAGGAAATTTAAATGCATGAATGTAAATAGAGCTGTTATTCGAAATGGGTATCTTGCCACTTGAAGTATGAGAAAACCTGTGACAAACAGATGACCTGTAGCTTAACCCTTTGATGTCGAGGTCACACAAATATGCGGCCTCACAGAACTGGGCTTTTTTCCGTGGGGCCGCATATTTGCGTACCTGTCTTTGTGCTGGGAGCGTGCCGCACTGCGTGCTCCCAGCACAAAGACCACGGTGTCACTGAGAGCCCCGGGTCCTGTTCTAACGATCATAACCTGGGACTCCTGATTCCGGGTCACTTGATCGCTGTGATAGCCTCTGATTGGCTATCACAGTGATCAGTCACTGTGCAGCCCAGCCCCCTTGTTTTTTTTTCTCTCTATGAATGGAGAAGAGAGATACATTGTATCTCTTGAACTCATTGCATAGAGAGAAAAAAAAAATGTTTGTAAAAAAAAAAAAAAAAAAAAAAATATTAAAAAATAAAAGAAAAAATAAAGAAAAAATACCTAGATCATGGTTTGATTTAGTTCGGTGCCAAGGTTATTGTTTGGGTCAAGATCAGGATTAAAAGAAACGGGGTATCAGTGTAAGTTAGTGTCAATGTCAGTGTGTTTTAGGTAAAAAAAAAAAGACAAAAACAAAATGCGCACAATTGTTTCTGGGCTGTACTACGGGTACAAACAACAAATAAAATACACATATATGGTATTGCTGCGATTGCCAAGAGCTGGAGAATTTATTTTGGGTTGTTCTTTGGTGGTAGGTTATGGTAGTAACATGAAACACCCAGAAAAATAAAAAACAATTGTTTTTTTTTACTATTTTGGGCCAGTTTTCCTTTGATAATAAAAAAAAAATCAGGAGATATCATTACCATTTACCACCAAATGAAAGCCCAATTTATCCTGAAAAAAAGTAGTTGTGATGATACGGTTTTACTAACACATGTCAACGTTGCAAAATTGTGCTTAGGCATTTAGATTTGTTTTACCCTTAGGCGTGAAGGGGTTAAAGTAGAATTCCTGCTACCTATATTTCCTATTCTAACCTGTAAAAAGATCTGTATACTTAATTTTTAGTCCCTTCCAGGCTGGTCATGTGATTCTGTTTTAGTAAGCAGCAGATGCAGGGGAGAAGAGAGAGCACTCCACAATGGCTGGGAATTCCAGGAGCCATGATGTCACTCATAGGTTCCCATGTCCCAGCCATTGTTGCCACTCCCTTCTCTCTCCTGCAGTTGCCACTGACTAACACAGGAAAGCTGGAGCTGCACATCAAGTGACCGGACCAGAATGATTGGACCCACCAGAAGGCTGCTGATAAATACCAATGTTCTGTTTGTGGAAGCAGCGGTCTCTCTGCAGTAGTCTAGCATGCTGCCTTGCACAGCAGTTGTGACTAAGCAGAGAGACCACTGCTTCCACAAAGAGAGCAGTGGTCTTTATCAGCAGCTTTCTGGAGGGGACAGGACTTTAAACCGGAGCTGTGAGTGAATTACACACACAGAAACAGTAAGACATTTAAAAAATAGTGTTCTGATGCACCCTAAGTTTATTTACTTACTTTAACAGGAAACTTCAGGCTTTAAATGACATGTGGCTTCAATGCCACTATAGCACATGAGAAGTACAATACTGTGCATTACCATTCTAATTACGTCATACATATCACAGTGACCACATATTTTCATCCAGGTTTGCGTTGTCTGCAATGGACATGGAACAAAAAGATTATGACTCCCGGACAGCTCTACATGTAGCAGCTGCTGAAGGTGAGTAATATGGCATGTAGAAGTCAATTATGGGCTTTAAATACAGGAAATCCCTAGAGTTTGTCTAAATTAATTATTTTTCACTTTTTCAGGACACTTGGAAGTGGTTAAGTTTCTCATAAAAGGGTGCAGAGTGAACCCCTTTATGGAAGACAGGTATGTTATTTGGTTGTATGGATTGTCTATATTTTGCATAATGAGGTTCTCTAGGGAACTCTTTTATTTCAGTAGCAGAGGTGTCTGTTTAGAAATGTATAATTTTATTGTGAGAACTAAATTAAAGTCTTTGTATCTATTTGATTTTGATCAGCTCAGTACAGATGTTCTTAAAAGTTTGTGGTAATTTTGTAAAAATGTTACTTTTCTTCATGGGTTATCCTGTATAAATCTGGGGTTGGCAACACATCAATCGCAATCTACTGGTCAACTGCAACCAGGTGACCGGTAGATCGTGTTTCCGTATTGCCGACCCAGGACTAAACTGGTCCTCCATCGTGCTGTCAGAGCAAGAGCTTGGCGGAGCAGAGGTTCTGGAACAGGGAAGGAAAGAGCTGGGTGGGTGAAGCAGGGGAGGAGAGACCCAGGCTGGTGGAGCAGGGGAGGAGAGTGCAGGACGGATGCAGCAGGGGAGGAGGCTTGTTCTCGCATGAAGCTACCTCTCCCAATGAAGCTTGGATCCCGCAGTGTCCCTGCATCTTCTGTCTCACAGCCAAGGGATAGAGAGGAGGATGGGGTGAGAGCAGGGGTGGACTGACAACTCATGGGGCCCCCGGGCAATTGGGGATCATGGGGCCCGTGTCCTTGCCCACACTCAAAACACACCTAAAAAAGCCTATAAAAGGTACCATGAGCATTTTATGGGGCCCCATACTGACCCCGGGCCCTCAGGCAGTGCCCGAGTGCTCTAATGGTCAGTCCACCCCTGGGGGAGAGCAGCTAGGGACAGGGGAGGAAGTGTTGGTGCTGATGGACACCGAACTGTCACAGGGCTGCGCAAGGCAGGAGGAGGAGGAGAGCACAGCCTGGTAGCCAGACTAATGTCACTGGTGTGGACAGATGTTGCTCAGGTCTGTGCCACCTATTGGGGACCCTCTGTACTCTCCACCCTGCTCACCTCACAACACTGACACCCAGGAATGGACACAGACTGCCCCCCCCCACAACACCTGCTGTCACCGACAGAAAAATCCGCATAAATTACTAGGACTAGCGGGGGGGGGGGGCTGGCCAGCGGAATGTTATCGGGGGGGGGGTCTGTTTCTACATTAGGGGAGAGAGGGCATATAATTTGTTACTAGAAGGGACATTTACTAGGTCTGATCGGCTGTATTTTCCTCCTGCAGCCACTGAAAGCCAGCTTCTCTTCTCCCTCATCGCATTCAGCAGCTGCAGTGGGAAAATACAGCCAAACAATTCTAGTAAATCCTGCCCCCGCCGCCTCTCCTCTGTTTCTGTTGCCCTGGTCTTCTCTGTGTCCCGCTCCATCTCTGCCAGCTTCCCTGAGAACCGAAGCATAGTAAACTGTTTTTACTATTCTTCAGTTTGTGAATAAACAGGAAACTGCTCAGCACCGAACACTTCCCATTCATTCACTATCCAGTGCAGCTGATGCTACAGAGAAAAGGACTGTGGAATCTCTGTCCTCGCTCCCTTTCTCTGTCTCACATTTGAGACATCAGTTGTCTGTTTAGACCGCTGATATTTTACCAAAGCCAAAAATTAAAAAATAAAATTGTAAAAAATAACACAAAATACAAAACTACTGACACTGTCCACAGCTCCACTGACTGACACCATTCGCTACTCTACTGACACCGTCCATTGCTGTACTGACTGACACTGTCCACTTTTAACGTAGGCTAAGTTTATATTTTTACAATGACCTTTGTTTTTTTCCAAATGTTCCTTGTAATTTAGTTAGGCTTTGCTAGTTAATTTCCTAAAAAAAAAAAAAGGGGGCAACAAACCCCGGTGATCTTTGATCTCTTTCATGATGTTCAGGTAGAACTCCACCTCTCAGAGGTTGCCTACCCCTGCTCTATAGGATTTAGGTCAATGGTTGTATAGGTCTCCATTAGCGAAAGTTCTCCAGATGCCACTAGACTCATCTCCTATCCAAGAGAGTGCCAGGATACTCTGAAGGCAGACACCGATTCCCCTCTAGCAGGACTTCCATCCTCTGGCCCTTCCACCTTGGAAGCTATACCCTCCTCAACTAGGCAGGACAGCTTAGGGATTTTTGTGCTTAGCCCCATATAAGTCCCTGGCCTACAAAGCACAAACCACTGCACACACCTCCCCAGGCTGAAGCCCAAATGAGCCTCCTAGTGTCTGCCAGAGAGGACATTAATGCTCAATAGCAAAAGATTGTCACCACCCAATAGCTATTGCAGTGCCAGTGACATTCAGTGGCTAAATCTAGGGGAGAAACCAAGTAAAGAAAACTACAAATTTTCCCAGGCAAAGCTATTACCCAAAAAAGCTAAATTTACTAGTCACCTCTGACAACAGGGTGGCTACACTGGTAAATTATCTTATCTTACACCTATGGATGGCTAATACTAGCCATACATACATAGAGTTCTCTTGTTGATGGGCAAATTGCATGTTACATATTTCCTTATTAACCACTTCATGTCCGGACACTTTTACCCCCTTCCTGTCCAGGCCAATTTTCAGCTTTCAGTGCTATCACACTTTGAATGACAATTGCGCAGTCATGCAACATATGCATTTTTTAGCATTTATTTGAGAGAGATAAAACTTTATTTTGGTGGAATTTATTCACCACTGGGATTTTTATTTTTTTTTGCTATATAAATGAAAAAGTCCAAAAATGTAGAAACAAAGTGTTTTTCTTATATCATTTTCTTCATAAATCTTGGCCAAAATGTATTCAGTTATCTTTTTAGTAAAAAAAAAAATAACCCAAATTAGTTTATAACTAAAAATAATATTTTTTTTAACATACTGTCACCCTAGCAGTACTTGTGGGGGGTGATGAAGATTTTTTTTTTTTTTACACTGATTGCTTTTAAACCCATAAAGGCAGTAAAAGCAATCATTTCTCCTTCTCTTGCAGCCATTGAGAAATACTGTGAGAGCTGCGATTAGTCACAGCTTGTCACATGGTATAAGACTGTTGTGAATAGCCTTGTACATTGTGACCTCTGTGGTCATTCACAGATTTCACACATAGTTAGCAATGATGTCAGAAGTGACATCTTGCTTACTACTATTCATGTGATCACAGATTGGCCAATCAGTGATCACATGATTGGGACCTCACACAGAGGTCCTGTACAGCGATTGGTGTTCCACTGTGTCCAGAGGACACTGTGGGCACTGGATTGCAGTGCCGTGCGCTCCCAGGGAGCGCGCACAAGCAGGGAAGCGGGAGAACGTTTATAAACAGCCACCCGCCCCTGCACTGCACCCATCCAGTTGTTTTTTGTACATGGGCCGGGCAAGAAGTGGTTAAAGTGTTACTAAACCCACAGCAGTAAAATCAGTCTGTATATGCAGTAAAGCATGCTTGTTATACTTGCTGTGGATTCTAAGGAGTTAATCCTCTGCATTGTGTAAAAATGCTGTTTGATCCTGACTCTTTTGATAAGTCATATCTGTGAAGACACTGCACATGCTCAATTTGGTGTGTAATGATAGTTTTTTTTTCTCTTGGGAGAGTGCATGTGATCAGCACAGGGCCAATTAGCACTGCCCAGACAGAGGTCAGGAGTTCTGCATGCTCCTAGAGAAAACTCCTCCTACAAGCTTTAACCAGTGCTCTGCTGAACACTGATAGAAGTCACAAGACTGCTCTAACTGCTTATGAGAAAAGGTATTTAGCAGTATAGATTTACTAAAAGAATTGCATTTTCATGTTCTATGTACTGTGGGAGACCAAATATAGAGAATGCAGGGTCCTGGGTTTAGTAACACTTTAATGTTATATATACATACACACACACACTGTATATCTGCATGTATTTGGGGAAATTTCAATAACAGAATCCCAGACAGCAGGAAACACCTAACAAGGGTTCAAATCCGTCCCACTATCCAAAACTAAAAACAAACTGTTTTGGCTAGAAATACACTTATCATAACTATACTGCATCTGAGCACCACCACAAACCAAAAATGCTATTTGTTTTTAATATTTAAAGCACACACACCCATTCATGTCTCCATGCTTTATTTTGCTGACACTTTAAAAAAAAAACACCCCATAGCATTTCTGGCTGTGGCCATCTTGATTCATGTAGCATTTACTTCCTGAAATCCATCTGCCCTTAGTTCAGGCATGCAAGCAGGAGGGTGTGCTTAGCTGAGAAAACCCCTCCTCCCCTCCTGAAGACTCCTGCGATTTATGACATCATTTGCCCAGGCCTGGAAACCAAGTAGTAACTAAAGAAAAAAAAAGGTTCAAAACAAGTAAATCTGATATAATTTCCTATCTATTATAATGCCAGCAGCTTAAGGATTAAAAATAGTCATTGTTGATTGAGAGAGTGAATTTCCGCTTTTATTATACTGCAAGATACAGTGGAACATATGTCATAATGAATGACTTTTAAACTGGTTGTGAACCTCAGACATGAAATATGAAGAAAGCATATCTCTCTATAGTATGTACTTGTCTTAATTCAGAGCATTTTTGTCTGCTTCCTTGGTTCCTTGAGTCACTTCTGACAGGTTTTCATGACACCAAGAGGTAAAAACGTGACAGGGGAGGAAGCTCCAGCCCACAATCTGTGATTCAGCTCTGTTCCTGTGTGAGGGGATGGGGTCCTTCCCTCTAATAAATTCTCGGCTTTCTTAAGGGAGTGTAACTTCAGCTCCCTGCCCCCTACTTTCTGAAAGCTCAGACAAGAATTATAAATTCTGGACTTTAAACAGCTGTAGAGAAGAAAATACTACAGATAAACAGGTACAACTTATGTAGGAGGCTGTGTTTTACCTCTGTGTATCACCAGAGGCTTGTCACTTCACTTGGTATATGTAAGGGTTTAGAACCACTTTAATTCATCAAAACTGTAAAAATAATTTGTTAAATGTTTAAAAATTAAAGACCATTAGAGGAACTACAGAATATTTTGAGTATTATCTGACAGAACAACCTGTGTTATCCCTAGGTGGGGTAACACCGCTTTACAAGATGCAATCAGGTTTGAGCAGCATGATGTTGCGAACTTGTTGATGGAATATCAAGAAAGCTATGCAAGCAGCCTGAAGAGCACAGAGAGTGAGCGGAGACAGATGTCACTGGAAAATCTAGAGAGTATGGTTTAACCTATGCTATGACAGGCTCTCTTAATGCCTTGCACATATGACAGCAACACATTCAGATGTAACTATTTACCTCTATACTAGAGGGGAACAATGAATATGCATCTGCACAATATTTGTTCTGCTGTGTTTTGTTGTGGAATCTTGTAGTGCTCGAGACCTAAAGGATAACAATCACCCTGTGCTAGGGGAACACACGGGGCGATTTACTAAAACTGGAGCACTCTGGTTGCATGGTAGCCAATCAGCCTCTAACTTCAGCTTGTTCAATTAAGCTTTGGCAATAAAAACCTGGAATCTGATTGGTTTCTATGCAGAGCTGCACCACATTTTGCACTCTCCAGTTTTAGTAAATAACCCCGTGTCTGTAAAAAAGAGCGCCTTATCTAATTCATTGCACTGGACACCATCCATGTTATAAAAATAATGTAACTATAGATAATTGTTAGGTTTCAACTTTGTTAAATAGAAACAAAGTCATTCTACGGAGAACATATTTTTGTATACAAGCTGAGAAAGTTTGTCATGTTCAGCAGTATAGATATAGACCCAGCCATTTGGTGCCTGAACAGAATGTCTTGAAAATGAAAATGGTGATACAAGTGGTCATTTTCTGTATATACTAACCTGTCTAGTCAGTACACCTAAAAAGAGTATCATTTCAGTAGGGTGTTGGCTTCACCTCCTATAGAAGACATTCACTTTTAGGTGGAGTTTAAAATTGCTTTCCAGATCATCAGAGTAATTCCACCCTTCCATGACATATGCAGCCACATTTTACAAACAAAATGCGAGCCCTGCATTAGTTTGCTAGAAAGACAAGGGCCTGTTCATGCTTGTGGTCTTGGAAAAAAGTTCAGGTGCTTTTTTTGTGCAACAATGCTGTTTTTGGGCCCCGTAGACTTCAATAAAAATGCATGGAAATGCATACACATGTGTGAATCTAGCTTAACTTGGCACCGGGCTTGGCAACGCAAATGTGCGGCCTTCCGCCATCTGGGCCTAGAACACATATGTTCTATTAAAAAGAACATATGCGCTGAACGCGCGCACTCCCAGCACACACATCGGTACTTACGGAAAGGTCCCGATCTCCTCTTTCGATCGTGACCTTTCTCGATCATGTGACCGCCATGACAGTGAATCACGGCTGTCACATGACCCTAAAACACCACCCCACCTCCCGACTTCTGGAACCCTTAAAGGGTCGGGAGGGGCCGTCGCCAAGGGGTTAAAGGTCTTTGTACTTTACTAGTTAAGGATTTCCATTTTAAAATCGTAATCCCTTAGAAAAATTATTGTAGAAAGACTTCACAACTTATCTTCTCCCTGGGTGGGGTAACACCCTTTGCAAGATGCAATCAGGTTTGAACAGCAACTCATAAGGGTTGATTTACTAAAGACAATAAGTTCTCATACACTATACGTTTTTACAGTGGCTGTTTTTTTGGCTTTTGACGTTTTTTTCTACAGCCATGTTATCCTATGTGTCCATGCACACATAGATTGTAATTAATGTTTTTTGGCTGGAATAAAAACCCAGAATTAGTGTGTTTCTACAGGAGTTTTGTAGCTGTAAAAATGTTCTAACGCTGCAAAACAAGGTAAAAACATGGTAAATCGCCGCAAACCAGCATTTTTGTAACAAAAAAAATGCCCCCAAAAAACTAAAACACGCAAGCATAAAAAAAAGCGGCAAAACACTGCTAAACACTAATACAAAACCGCTAAAAAAACTCATGTTTTTATCGTGACTTTACACAGCTAATGTTACCGGTGTTATTAAAACGCCCAGTGTGCATGGAGCCTTAGACTGTGCACTCAGAGCTTAGTAAATAAAAGGTAAAAAACTTCCCTTTGCTAAGAATACCCAATCACATGCAAGGAAAATGGAAGAAAAACAAAACCAGCATGATTGAATGATGAAAGTCAGCAGAGCTTCTGCTCATTTACTAAGCTCTGGAGCAACTGCACTTTGCAAACTGCAGTCTAATTGCCTTTAGCAAATCAACTCCATAGTCTCATCTTGGATTATTTAAACCAGACTGCCATTTTTGCATTTTCAATGCATGAAAATACAGTTTCATATCCAAATTTAAAAAAAAAAAAAAAAAAAAAAATTTTAATATTTATTTTTTAGTCATAACGCTGACATTTTTGCAGCACTTTATAGATTTCATAGTGCACTCCTATAAACTTACAATGCTTAACTTTTGTTTGGCGGCCACTGTGATCACATGATAGGGAGTCTGCCCGCCAGCTCCTGATTATAACAAGAGACCAGAAGTGTGACAGCTCAGTTACTGTGGTAGGAGCACACAGTGTGCTCTCAGCACAGAATCCTCTAGTGCCATTGACTCATATGTGGGCATTAACACCCATCTTCCTTGCCATGGCAAATATGTATTACGTGGTTGGCAAGAGGTTAATTCTGACATATATATTGTAACGCATTAATATATTTGGGGGAAGGTACCCCAACAAAACCCAGGAAAAACATACAAACTATATAGGAGCATCCTTGCTATGGACTGAACTTCTTTGCACTACAAAAGAAAGAGTATTATTTAAATACATCTATCCCAAGAACAAATATGTTAAATACTGTAGCTTACCAGTCCATAAAATAGTGGATGCATTCATTTTCATTTTTCAGGCGAAGATCTTTCAGCAAATACAGAAATTGTATTTATTGCCAATAATGCCACCTAATCTAAGGATTGCTAAGCTATAATATTTTTTTGTTTTTGGGTCTAGATACACCCATTTTGGATCGCTGAAATGCATGTTCTAATGCATCTGTAGCAGTCTACTGTGTTAGTTATAAGGGGTTATTTAAAAACAAATCTAAAGCCAAAACCTTGCTTTCACTTTAGATAGCGTAGGGGAGGGTTCAAACTGTTGTCAGGTTTTTTTTCCTGCCATCTGTGTCCCATTTAGGAGATTTCCCTTTACTTAACGCCCTGTAAAATTCAACAGGAAGTGAGGATATTGTTCCACTGTGAGGGAAATGCACTAGACAGTTGTCACAGAAACAAGTATCCCTATTGGAAGATTTCCCTTCTATTCCTATTCCAATGGTAGTTCCAAATTTTGGACTTGCCCTCACTTTCGTCTCTGGTGACATTGGTGATCAGTACAATTAAAAAGAGTGAATCTCCCTAAGGGGGGCCCAGGCTGAAATAAAAACCTGACAGTGACTGCCCACAGCACTTGAGCCAAATAGTTTAACCTTTTTGTATACTTTATATCTCATCTAAAACAACTAAAATCACATCTGAGACACACCATTGTTGGTACTATATCTTTAGAATTATTATGTAGCCTTATTCTTTGCATAGCTTATCTTTCTGAATTTAGGATTTTGCAAACCTCATCGTTCTGAATCTTGCTGGGAATTTGCTTTCTTCCAACTTCAACAAGCAGATCCTGGATGAAAAAGAATGTTAGCTCACATTGCACTCAATCTTAGCAGAATTTGTATGTTCCCCTAAACTGGAAAACTGTTTTGAGATTGTTACAGATTGTGATTTTACCAAATATTTTGCCTCTGCGAACATTGCACTTCTATTAAACTTGAAGAAAAAGCTGTACGAGTCAAATTTTGTGCCTTGGGCAATGTGATGCTTTATGTGCCATTAATAATAAAAAAAAGCTATTACATCTGCTGGTTACAAGCATATAGGTACCAAGATCAAATATTGGGATACACACTTTACAAATGACAAATGAATGCATACAAGTGTTGATCTTATCAACAGATCCCAACAGAATAGTTTATTTTTTTCTACCTTAAAAATGTAGGTGTGAATATGGTATAGAATGGGCTAAAAAACCTGAAGCAAAGATTTAATGAAAGGGTAACTTGTAGTATCCACAAAACACGTACATTAAAGTCCAAGTAACTGCTGGAAATTGAAGATATCCGACACATTTGTAGCTTTGCTATTATTCAGTATTGTGCTAGCTGCCCTTTAACCACCTCCAGTCCGGCCGTTGTATATAAATGGCCAGACGGTGGCACTGCAGGGTCGGGTGGCGGTTTATAAACGGCCTCCCCACACCTTGCTTGTGCGCGCTCCCCGAGACTGCGCAGCACCGCTATCTGGTGCTCGCTGTATCCTCCGGACACAGTGAAACACCGATCGTCGGACGGGACCTCTGTACGAGGTCCCGATCATGTGATCACTGACTGGCCAATCAGTGATCACATGCAGAGTAGTAAGCAAGATGTCACTTGTGACATCATTGCTTACTATGTGTGAAATCTGTGAATGATCACAGAGGTCATGTTACAAGGCTATTCACAACAGCCTTGTACCATGTGACAAGCTGTGACCAATCACAGCTCACTCTGTAGTTCTCAATGGCTGCAAGAATGCAGACAGAGAAAAAGAAATGATTGCTTTTACATCCTATATGGGTGTAAAAGCAATCAGTGTAAAAAAAACAAAATCTTCATCACCCCCCCACAAGTAGTACAGTGTCACAATGGTGACACTGTACTGCTAGGGTGACAGTATGTAAAAAAATAAATAAATAAATAAAAATAAAATATAAAAAAAAATAAAAAAAAAAAGTTTAAAAAGTATAATTTGTTTATAAACTAAATTTGGCTTTTGTTTTTTTAATAAAAAGATAACGGAATAAATTTTGGCCAAGATTTATGATGAAATATTTATTTGCTAAATTCTATAAGAAAAACTTTTTTCAAAATTTTGGGAATTTTTCATTTACATAGCAAAAAAAGGTCAAAAAAGTTAAAAAAAAAAAAAGGCGCTGTCACTATAGGTCAGTGCTGGTTTTTAAATGTAATTACCAGCTTTTTTTTTTTTTTCTCTTCACTATAGCTCAGAGTCTCAGCTGTCACTTTCCCCCCAGCTAAAAGAAAGTTTCCTTTTAGTTTATTTCCCACAATGTTTCCTTTTAGTTTGTTTCATGACATAAAAGAAACAAAAGTATCCTTTAGCTCTGAAAGTGACAGCTAGTTCTGTGAGCTACAGTGAGGGAAAAAAAAAACAAAAAACAAAAGCCGGCAATTGTATTTAAAAATCGCCACCGACATACACTTCGTATTGTGAAAAAATTCGTAAAAAATTTTGTAAACCAAGGCATTATTTTCATTCGGAAACCGAAAATTCCGTTAACCGAGGTGTTTTTGTAAACCGAGGTACACCTGTACTGCTTTTTTATTGTCTATGGTCTCCGATTTCAGAAAATAGATCATGTTTGCGGGTTTTATGTAATCTTCAGGCCTAAAATGATTTTTTTAAACATGTGCAAAAATGGCTCTGGCAGCGAAAGGGAAAAAGGATAAGCCCAACACTCCCCTTTCCTGACAAGCACCCAATCAGTGCTCATCACACTGCAAAGTCTCTCCCCTCCCTGCTAGTTCCCAGGGTGGTGCTGGAGACAGGCAGGGAGGGGGGGGGGGGGGGGGGATAAACAGCGTAATGTTAAAAATATTACATATTTAAGTCACCATAAAGCCCCTTTTGTTTTCCAAAGCCCCGGACATTACTTAAAGCAGATTTAATTACGGTTTAGGTTAAAATGTATTTTTTTTTGTATCAGGACAAGTAGATTGCCATGAGGGCAAGTAGATTGGGGCACAGATTTAGTCCCTGGACAAGTAGTTTTTTCAAAAATTTCCACACGCCTGGAATATATATGTTTATTTTTTGCAATCCCAAACTTTTTCTTTAAGATAAAGGATGTGTTAGGTTAAAGCATAACTCCAGGCACAGACATGTTTATAATTGTTTTAAGTGGGGAAAAAAAGTTTCCTGTGCTGATGTGTGTATTGAGCAAATCATAGCTGTTCACTGTAAAATCAACTTCTTTCTTCATGCTGGACAGTCCAGCTAGCTATATGTACTTCCAACTCTCATACAGGGAATTGATAGTTTAGTTTATACACACTTCCTCTCCCCTTGTTCATTCATAGAAGGCCTTGTATTCTCCATGCAGCACCAGTGGTAGATGTGTGTGTGCGCATCCACCTCTGAGATGCGTGCAGGAAGCCCATAGAAGTAAATGCACACACAGCGGCCACACAGACAATCACCCGTCTGAATGAGCCCTAAAGCAGTTTTGGAGCGGAAATGCATCCTCAACAAATGCATGCTACATATGCCTAACTACTTAGCATAAAAGAGCTCCATAGTGGTTTGAATTCGTCAACTATGGGGATCTCTTATTTGTTGCCGTTGCTTTTAACTCATTCTTGATAAGCTGTTCACATGCAAGGCAATCGCAAATGGAACATTTTTGCAAAAGTACAGTGAGCTCAAAGACAACACTGTAAACATTATCAGGTTTTTGCAGATGTGAAATTCTTTGGAAATAGCTTCATATTTACAAGAACAGAGGCATATTTTATCTTTACATCTGCTAATGCTTCATTTTCACCAACACACTGCATCAGATTCAGATGTATTTACATGTGGTAATAAATCAAACAGCTCTGGGAAATGGATAAGAAATTATGGTTTTCATCAAAATGTGTTATTCAACAAAAAAAAAAAAAAAGGCAGTAAAAAGTAATTTTCTGCGAAAATTCTGAGTATTTTATTTTTATACAATTTACCAGTACTGCAACAGCATATTCATATAGCTCTGCACCCTTCCTTGTTTTATACTGAAGAGTCACAAAGTATATATGAAATCAACTCATTTTTAATGAAAATAAAAATCATGCATAATGCTGACTAAAGTAGTCTAACACTGTAGAATCCTCTGGTGTAGAAATGAAAGTACAGTAGATGACACTTTCAGTTGACTGTTCTGATGTGGACTTCATAGGCATTTTTGTTTATTTCTGTGAGATGTACATAACTGTATCAATCTAGGTACATATATTACTTGAACAACTTCCATTTTATATTGACAATGAATACAGATGGACTTTGTAGAAGGTAAAGCACTGCACAATTAAACAAAGCTTTAAACACTGCAACATATTGGATATCCATCACCAGCAAAATAAGTTCAGCTGTTGACCATAGTATAATATGGACTGAAGAGGCACTTGGATTATAAAACTTGTTGGTTTCACACATTGTCAGGAACATCCAAGCCAGAATGAGTTAGAAGTTCTCCATCCCACAGACCAAACGCAGGCAACACTGGACCTCGAAACGCAGCATTGAGAGTGTGGATAAGGGAACCCTTATCAGAGTCCACAAGGCTTAGCTTCCCATTATCATAGTCCAGCAGGAGTCCCACTTTGCTAGGATGGCCAATATTGGTGATGGGGATGGTTTTATTTGCCACCATACCATGCCATTTTTTATGGCTGTAGGCAAACACCCAAGAACGGCTGCTGACTCCAATGCATTCATCCCTAGACATATCTGCATCTGCGACACCTAAGCGGAATTCATTGGACTTCTTCACTGTCACCTCCCAGTAATGGCGACCGCTTGATATTGAAGTGTCCCCCAGACTACAGCCCATTCTCGAAAACGCTCAGGGTTCTGTGGGATTTTGGATGGGTCAATACCTAGTATGCGATAGATTACCCCTGTGTCCTTCTTGAACAGGTCCAGGCTACTGTGGGATGTTTTCTCATCGAGTTTAAATGTCACATCTGTAATAAAACCAGCAAATTAATTTAATCTACTTTAAAAATATGGCTAGGTACTCATGGACGGTTAATTCAATTACTTATCAAATAACTAAAGAGTTTTACTGGGATCTGTCAAGTAGTTTAGACATATTCTAATTGCTTTCTTAACAGATGTTCCACATGCTGGAAAAATGCTCAGATTTAGGGCCTGTTCACACTAGAATTCTACATGCAGTTCCAAGTGTGAATGGGCCCTTTAAGTAAGTAAAACCAAAAGGCAAACATTTTTTTTCCTTAGTTTTTTGATAGAGTGAATATTATTATTATACAGTATTTATACAGTGCCAACAGTTTGCTCAGTGCTGCACATTACAATGGGAGACAGTACACGAGACAGTACAGTAACAATACACGAGGGGTTCGAGGGCCCTGCTCCTTGGAGCTTACAATCTAGGAGGGAGGGAATAGTGGTACAGGAGGAATAGCTGTGGGGGATGGAGTGGTAGGAAGAGTGGAGGAGATCGGCAATTAGCTGAGGGTGGGGTAGGCTTCCCTGAAGAGATGGGTTTTCAGGGTGCGCCTAAAAGGTGAGAAAAGTAGGTGATAGTCTGATGGATTGGGGTAGGGAGTTCCAGCGGACGGGGGGGAGGCCCTGGAGAAGTCCTGGAGATGGGCATGGGAGGAGGAGATCAGGGAACTAGAGAGTAGGAGGTCTTTTGAGGAACGGAGAGTACGTTTTGGGTGGTATTTGGATATCAAATCGGTGATGTAGTTTGGGGCAGTGTTATGAACAGCTTTGTACGTCAATGTTATTTTGAATTTTATCCGTTGGGCAATCGGAAGCCAGTGAAGGGATTGGTAGAGGGGGGTGGCGGATACGGAGCGGTTAGTAAGGTGGAGGAGCATGGCCGCAGTATTCAGGATAGACTGAAGCGGGGATAGCCTGTGGTGAGGTAAGCCGGTGAGGAGGAAGTTACAGTAGTCAAGTCGTGATATAATAAGGGAGTGAATGAGTTGCTTAATACTCTCCGGGGTTAGGAACGGACGTATTTTGGAATATGGATTAGAACACCCAATATCAGTGAATGTGTACGTAAAAGAAATTCCCAAATTTTGAGTTGTTTTCAGAAAAGTAATAGAGGGGACATCTTCCAAAGGGGACACTAGTTCTGGTGATGTGGGGGTCCCTCAGGGATTCCCTTAATTTGTAGGGATTCCTCTCACTTCCCAATTTGGCTATGGGACAGAAATTGAAGGTACATCTACCCAATCGGACACACATGGCAAAAAGAAACCTTACAGTGGTTATAACCCTCCCTTACTCTATCCAAAATGGAAAAAAAAAAAGTTTTACCTTTAGTTCTACTTTAATTTGGTAACAACTTGCTAAGCACTTGGAAAATGATACAGTACTTCAAGTAATTACAAGAATGGCAGAGTGGCAGATATCTTCTTGGAGGTTTCTCATTTTTAGATAGTCATTGAGATGCCTTCTGCAGCATTCATTCATTCAGGTGTACCATATCATTTATTTACCCTTAAAAATCCTGCTGTACCACGTGTATCAGACCAGTGACCCAGAAAGAACTGAAACCGGGGGTTGTATTGAAAGCCAGGCAATTTCCATTTTCAGGAGGGAACAGCAATAGCAGCTGGCAGTGTCAGCTTTTATTTACCTTTAATTTGTTATATGCATATCTGAGCTACCAACCATTTCTCTACTGGAGCATTTTGTTACATTTTTTTCAGATACATGTTAAAAATCTGTATTTTTTGGTTAAACAATTCTTAAAGCCCAACACGTCAAGCTCAGATGTGCAGAGGAGTCTGTACAGCCAATGAATATCCATTTACGTATACAGTGCCTCGACAGTATTCATACCCCTTGAAATTTCCACATTTTGTCATGTTACAACCAAAAACATAAAATGTATTTTATATGATAGACCAACACAAAGTGGCACATAATTGTGAAGTGAAAGGAAAATGCTAAATGGTTTTCAATATTTTTTACAAATAAATATCTGAAAAGTGTGGCGTGCATTTCTATTCAAAAAATATGTGTGTGTAACTTGCGAGCCACTAAATTATTCCTCTGGATCGCTAAAATTTATCACATACTCAAACTGTGTAAAAAAGACCATATAACTAGAAAATATGGCGCTCCCAATCTCTAACAAACTTATAAATTAGTGACTTCAAATTATATATCCATGAAAAACAAACAATATACTATACATAAATAAATATCAATAAATGAATATAAATGTGATGTGAATCAAAAAAAAAAAAAAAAAAAAAAAAAAAAAAAAAAAAAACAGTCCCATTACTCAAATAATAGTCCAAAAAAGGGATTTGTGATGACGTGATCCAAACACACCAATTGTGACTTTTCGTGAATCCTTAAATCATTAAAGATGTGCGGATCTCTCCCTCCTTCAGATGCTCAGGATCTCGTGTATACTCGCCGTATGCTCTATGGTGCCGAGTGACATCGTAGCCCCACCCTACGCGTTACGCCATAGGTCACGTGGCTTCATCAGGGGTTTGTAATTGTACAGTCACTGCACTCAAACAGCTTTATATATCCCATCACCGCCATTTTCCCAGAGAGCATAGGACGAGTATACACGCTGTGCGGGGCACACACAGGCAAAGGATTTTTTAATACCAAAGCGCTTTTTAATTTTATTCAATGTGAGTGCATATATTGAGCATTTAAATAAAGGCAAGTCTTATAAGGATAAAGCACTATGTCCACATTTCTTTTTTGCTTCATGACACTGACAAACATCTAAGGGGAGTGAGCAGGAGATCCTGAGCAGCTGGAGGGAGAGATCCCTGCAGGGATAACGAGTGTATAAGGAGAGAAGCATTGTGGAGTACATAGGAGGTATCCAACATCCATTCCATGCTGCAGCAAATTCTAGTAGGTTCCATGTATGTGAACAAAAAGTGTATTAAGCCTGTTAGGCTTGTAAGGAGGTGAGCGCACATTTTTAATGATTTAAGGATTCACGAAAAGTCACAATTGGTGTGTTTGGACCACGTCATCACAAATCCCTTTTTGGGACTATTATTTGAGTAATGGGACTGTTTTTTTATTTGATTTGATTCACATCACATTTAACTTGATATTCATTTATTTATGTATGTTTTTTATGCATTTCTATTCTGCCACCTCTACTCAAACTCCCCAACTAAAATATAGTGGATCCAATTGCCTTCAGAAGTCATCTAATTATTAAATAGAGTCCACTAGGATGTAATTTAATCTCAGTATAAATATAGTTTTGTTAAGCCCTCAAAGGTTTGTTAAGAGAACATTAGTAAACAAACAGCATCATGAAGGCCAAGGAACACACAAGACAGGTCAGGGATAAGGTTGTGGAGAAGTCTAAAACATGGTTATGATATAGATATATATCTATATAAAAAAAAGATATTCAAAGCTTTGAACATCTCACGGAGCACTGTTCAATCCATCCTTCGAAAATGGAAAGTGTATGGCACAATGCAAACCTATCGATATGGCCGGCCACCTAAACTGACAGGCCAGGGCAAGGACAGTATTAATCAGAGAAGCAGCCAAGAGGCCCATGGTAACTCTGGAGGAGCTGCAGAGATCCACAGCTTAGGTGGGATAATCTGTCTACAGGACAACTATTAGTTGTGCACTCCACAAATCTGGCCTTTATGGAAGAGTGGCAAGAAGAAAGCCATTGTTGAAAGAAAGCCATAAGAAGTCCGGTTTGCAGTTTGCGAGAAGCCATTTGGGGGGGCACAGCAAACATGTGGAAGAAGGTGCACTGGTCAGATGACTTTTTGGCCTATCTCCACTGTGAAACATAGTGGTGGCAGCATCATGTTGTGGGGATGCTTTTCTTCATCAGGGACAGGGAAGCTGGTCAGAGTTGATGGGAACATGGATGGAGTCAAATACAGGGCAATCTTAGAAGAAAACATGTTAGAGTCTGCAGCAGACTTGAGACTGGGGTGGAGGTTCATCTTCCAGCAGGACAACAACCCTAAACATACAGCCAGAGCTACAATGGAATTGTTTAGATTAAAGTACATTCATGTGTTAGAATAGCCCAGTCAAAATCCAGACCTAAATCCAACTGAGAATCTGTGGGAAGACTTGAAAATTGCTGTTCACAGATGCTCTCCATCCAATCTGACAGAGCTTGAGCTATTTTGCAATGAAGAATGGGCAAACATTTCACTCTCTAGATGTGCAAAGCTGGTAAAGACATACCCAAAAATGAATCACGGCTGTGATTGCAGCAAAAGGTGGTTCTACAAAGTATTGACTCAGGGGGGCTGAACACAAATGCATGCCACACTAATTCCCATATTTGTAAAAAATTTTGAAAACCATTTATCATTTTCCTTCCACTTTGTGTTGATCTATTTTTGGTTGTAACATGAAAAATGTCAAGGGGTATGAATACTTTTTCAAGGCACTGAATAGGCTGCCTGCACGCAGCTCAGCGAAAGTACAAAAAGATAAACCATGCTAGATGTACAGAGCTAAGCATCTGTATGAATGAACCTTACAGGTAAACGGCATGGAAAACAACATTAAATTCACATATCCTATGATTTTTTTGTTACAACACATTGGTCTTTCCCTTGTGATATCCTACCTCCAGCACACACACAGGTCTTTCCCCAATGATATCCCACCTGCAGCAAGCGCGCGCGCACGCACGCACGCACACACACACACACACACACCTTTCCCCAATGATATCCCACCTCCAGTACACACACACACACATTGGTCTTTCCCCAATGATATCCCACCTGCAGCAAGCCTGCGCACACACACACACACACACCTACCTTTCCCCAATGATATCCCACCTCCAGTACACACACACACACACACACACACACACACACACACACACACACACACACACACACACACCCTTTCCCCAATGATATCCCACCTCCAGTACACACACATTGGTCTTTCCCCAATGATATCACACACCTTTCCCAATGATAGCCCA